TTTATGATTTATTAACAGTCTTCCATGACCTATGGAGTCCTGTTGTGGCGCTGTCGAATAAGCACTAGCTTGCTAATGCACCAAGGTCACTGCAAGGGTCACCATTGAGTCAGAACCAACCGATGGCCGTAACAGCAGTGACTTGTATGTTTGTCTTTATTTACATCAGCAGTACCCCGTTGTCTGGCTTTTAAAAAACTTTTTATTGTGCCCATGTTTAAACAGTTTGTTCTGTCATGAAATCCACTGAACCTCCTTGCCATTTAGAAGGTCTATAACGCCATTGTTTCCTCCTTTTGCTCTGTGATTGTCTTCGTTACATATTGTTATCTCTGGTTCCCTATATTCAGACTTCTTGTTGTGAAGTGCTCTCGAGTCAGTTCCCACCCATAGCGACCCTGTATAGGGTTGCTGAAGAGCAGCTGGTGAGCTTGAACTGCTGACCTTGCAGTTCAAACGGCTTTGCAGTCTGGCGCAGGCTTGTAGGTGTGTTTTCTTTTAGATGCTTCTGTATCTGGGTGAGTTCTAGCTAATATTGCCGTAGATGTTTATGTCAGGTGGTTCTTTGCTGGTGTTGGTTCTCTGCTCAAAGACCTCCCTCCTTTTAGTATTTTTTGTATAGTTGGTCTGGTTCTACAAATTGTAAAGAAAAATGAAGATTAAAAAAAAGTTAGAAGGGGAGGGGCAAAAAGGAAAGAAACAGGAAAGCAGAAAAAAAGATGGAAAACGACGCAAGGGCGAAAGGTGAGGGGGCGGGAACACAGCCTTCCCTCTGGCGTGCGCCTGCGTAGTCACACCGCCCTGGCTGGATCTTCGCCGGTGAGGAGAGGGGATGACGGCGTGGAGTCTGGCTAGTCCCAGGTCGCCTGTCTGTCTTGCCTTTCCTCAGTGCTGTTTAGCTCCTTCAAGTGGTCCAGATCCAGTCTCTGCCTCTGTCTGCCTCTGAAGCGCCACTTAGGACGTGTCTCCACCGCTCGTTGGGCCCCTCGTGTCTTACCGCCGAGGTTCGGCCTGGGCCGCCATTTTGCGGAAGTTTGAGTAAGTTTGTATTTCGTCAGGTGTGAGCCCTGCTTTGTTCTTTAAAGGCCCATTTTAGCTTTTCTGGACCTTTGGAATGTCCGTATGGATTTTAGGATCAGCTTATCAGTTTCTGCGAAGAAGTCACTGGGATTGGAAAGGGGTTGTATTGAACACCTTTTTGAGAGTTAGAAAAACGATGAACTCAATTGGTTGGGAGTAACTGGAATGTGTGGTTCGTGGCTTGGCTCTGAATGAATTCTTTCCCAAATTGGTAATCAGTTATTTCCGAATTGTCTTGTTGAGAGAGGAGCCTTGGTGGCGCAGTGGGTTAAACACCGGACCGCGACCCTAAAGCTCGGCGCTTGGAGCCCACAGACTGTGCTAAACAGAAGGAAGATGTGGCACTCCGCCTCACTAAATGTTAAGTGCCGTCAAGTTGGTTCCGAGTCATAGTGACCGCTGTATTAGGGTTTCAGAGGAGTGAGTGGCTGATGGGTTTGAACTGCCAACCAAATGTGGTTAGCAGTCAAATGTGTGTCCTGCAGCGCCACACCAGGACTCCATCATAACCTTGGAAACAGTATGGGCATTGCGATGAGTTGGCTTCAACAACATAATGGTGTGTTTGGTTTTTTGATTGGTCTTGATGAGAAGCTTACTTTAAAAAAACAAAGCAAACCCCCCCCACCTTTTTATTATGAAATAGGTGAAGGCTTACGTTCGCCAATCATGTGCACTTCTTGTCACTGACTGCAATCCTCTCCATGTAAGATAACCTCCTCCCTGTGTTTGTTTCCATCTCTCCTCCTCTCCCAACCCTTCTGAGCTTTGTCCTTGGGTAAGTGCTATCCTTTTGATCTCAAATGGTTGACCAGTCTGTGATGTGCACACTTCACTAGGGTTGCTCCCCCTGTGGACCTGTCTGTGGCTTGGTTGCTCTGGAGTCTCCCAGTCTCGTTCTGTCCAGTAAGCCTCGTCTTTTTCTTTTTAGTTTTGTTCCACATTTTCTCCCACTCTGTCCTGGACATTCTCATGGGCACCCTTTCAGAGACTAGTTCCTTCTTCTGGCTCAGGTTTTGTGAAGGCTGATACTCTTGGTGTCTTCCGTTTTCATCCCTCTTACCTCCAAACAGGGGAGACCACTAGTTGCATCTTAGATGTCTGCTCACAAACTCTTAAGACTCCAGACACTACTCACCAAAATAGGATGTAGAACATTGGGAATTGTGTATGTCAGTTAACATGGCCTGGTAAGCAAAGAGCACAGCCATTAGTATGGAGTACATCTCAATGTGAAGAAAACACAAAACCTCACCACTGGACCAATCAACAACATTCTTATCAACGGAGAAAAGATGGAAGTTGTCAAGGACTTCATTCTTGGATCAACTATCAACACTCACGGAAGCAGCAGTCAAGAAATCAAAGGGCATATTGCATTAGGCACATCTGCTGCACAAGACCTTTTTAAAGTGTTGAAGAGCAAAGATGCGCCTGACCCAAGCCATGGTATTTTCAATAACCTAATGTGCATGTGAAAGCTGGACAGTGAATAAGGAAGACCAGACTGTAGAAGAATTGATGCTTTTGAGTTATGGTGTTGGAGGAGAATACTGAAAGTGCCACAGGCTGCCCAAAGAACCAACAGATCCCTGTTGGAAGAAGTGCAGCCAGAGTGCTCCTTGGAGGCCAAGATGGCCCAACTTTGTCTCTCATACTTAGGACATGTTGTTAGGAGGGACCAGTTGCTGGAGAAGACTATCATGTTTGGTAAGGTGGAGGGTCAGAGAAAAAGAGAAAGACCCCCAGCGAGATGGATTGCCAAATGGCAGCATCAGTGGGCTGAAGCATGGCAACAATAGTGAGGTTGGCCCAGGACCGGGCAGTGTTTCGTTCAGTTGTACATAGGGTCGCTGTGAGTCGGTACCGACTTGATGGCACCTAACAACAACAACAACATGCCCCAATGCCCAGGGACTCATTCCTTCAAGGTGTTTGGTTTTAAGTAGTTTTCCTAACTTTGCCCCCCTATATGCTCCTCCACATTCATGAATATATTGCCTCTGTGAAACCTTAATATATTTGTGAGTATACTCTTTTCTCCTTTCCACTCTCATGTCTTTACCTGTAGGTCACCATCATCGCAGGATTGTGTGTATAACATTATTTCTCCTCAGTTGCTTTAACTCTAGCACTTCTCCTTGTGTTTGTCTTTGCTTCTTAGTGCCTTTTCCCCCCCTCAACCTCTCTTCTTCTTACATACTGCCTTTCCCTTCACCCAAGTTAACAGTGTCTGCCCTCTAGCCCTTCCCTCTCACCCCTGGTAACCGTCAGTTAGTGTGAAAACTTTTTACAGTAGTGACTCATTTCACCCACCATGTCCTCTGGGTTGATCCATGCGATGAGGTGTTTCCCAGACTCATCATTATGCCTTAACATTGTGTTATAGTCTGTTGTATTTACCAAAGTGTGTTTATCCATTTTTCCTTTGATTTTTAGTCTGTTTTAGATTTTGTGTGTAAGGTGTGTCTCTTGTAGACTGTATATTGATGGATCTTGTTTTCTTATACATTGTGCCTGACTCATGACTGGTATATTTAATCCATTTACAGTCAGTGAAATAATCACTATTAATTTTCTGTGTGGTTTTTTTGTTTTTGTGTGTGTGAGCTGGTTTCTTTGTGTCACATAATTTTCTGTGTGGAGTTCATTTTGTTTGTAGGCTTTCTTGTTACTTTGTCGACGCTGCTGTTTAGAGTTTACTAAATCCTTATGATTTTTCTCTTTTATTTTGCGAACACCCTTTAGAGAAAGTTTCATAATTTCCTTAGAGGTTACCCTGTAATTTATTAATTTCTGCCTGAGTTCAAAACATTCTATTGTATCTTGAAACCTATAGGACGTCATTCACCCCATTTGGAAGTTCTGTAACGAAAGTATTCCCCCTTTTAATTTTGTAATTATCTTTGTTTAAATTTGGAATCTCTTGTAGTTTTCCAACTTGTAGTTTGTTTAGTGCCATTAAGTTGGTTCCGGCTCATAGCAGCACTGTTGTGTGGTTTCCAAGGAGCGATTGGTGGGTTTGAACCACTGAACTTGCATTTCAAACCGACTTTGTGGGCCAGTGCTTATCCTACAAAGCCACTTCTATATCTAGATTGAAGAAACCCTGGTGACATGGTGGGTTACGGGAGCCTGGCTGCTAATTACAAGCTTACCCGTCGCTCTGTGGGAGAAGGATGAGACGTTCTGCTCCTGTACATATTTATAGGCTCAGAAACCTTATACAGCTGGTTTCCTGGCACACAGCCGCCACAAGAACTGTGTTCTGGGTGGTGGCATCATGTATGTGAAGCTGAGGTTTAGTAGTTCTCTGCCCAAAGAGCACACTAGTATTTTTTGTGAAGTTGGTCTGGATTTTACAGATGCTTTTAATTTCTGATTATCTGAACATGTCCTAATTTTGCCCTCGTATTTGGTGGGCGATTTTACTAGGTACATGATTTCTTGGATGGCAGTGTTTTTCTTTCAGAGTTTTATATGTCATCCCATTGTCTTTTTGCTTGCATGGCTTCTGCTGAGATATTGGAACTTAGTCTTATTGGTTCTTCTTTGTAGGTAACTTCATTTTTCCCCCCAAGCTGCTCTCAGGATTCTTTGCTTATCTTTGATTTTGGAAAGCTTGATTATGGTAGGTCTTGGGGATTTTCTTTGGGAATCTATCCTATTTGGGGTTCTTTCAGCTACTTGAATGCATACCTTGTCTTTCATGATGTTAGGGAAGTTTTCTTCCAGCAAATTCTCTTTGACAGTTTTCTCCTCTGGGTTCAGCTGACAGATTGGGACGAGGGGGGCTGTAAGGCCTGGTGGGAGTGGCCAGAGCCTGGAGCACTGATGGGGGTGAGGGGTGGGGTGGGGGGTGTGCCAATGCAGGGGACTGGGGGAAAAGGGGAGCAGCCCACAGACCCCAGCACGGGTGTATGGTGGGCCTGTGTCCTGGGCTGGCCTTAAGCATCATGGAGGTGAGGTGCTTGCACCTGCGTTCCCTCACGGAGGCTCTCCTGTTCATGTGCCCCCAGTATGACACCGTCCCCATCCAGCCCAGTGTGGTGTTATGCTCCTGCCCGCCCCCATCCATGGTGAGGAGCCCGAACGACGCCGGCAGCAGGCAGGGCTCCAGCATGGATGCTCCCTCAGCGGAGCCTAGGCCCAGCCCCAGCGCCCTCCAGCACCCCGCCCAGCCACCGCCGGCCCAGCCTCGCAAGAAGCGGCCCGAAGACTTCAAGTTTGGGAAGATTCTTGGGGAAGGCTCTTTTTCCACAGTGAGTATGGCTGCAGCAGCCTTGCTGGGTCCTGGGTCTAACCGCGTTAAAGAGCTGAGCTGGGTGTTGTGGAGACAAGTTTTACAGAGCATCTCATGCTGGCTGCCTTTTCCTTGTAGCCAGGCACCAGCCGCCCACGGTGTTCTCGGGTTCCTGGGAGGCTTCTGCTTCTCAGATGGAAAGTCAGGATCCGTGTTGTTGCAGGCAGTACAGTGGGCCCTGGACCCTGCGCAGTGTCCTCCAGCTCAGCACAGTGGGAGGGGCTCCTGCTAGTGCGGACAGCCCAAGTGGCATGGTCTATCACGTGCAGCACAGAAAGGAAGGTGAAACACCCCCTCTGCTTAGCAGGAGCCGAAGAGTCCTTAGTGGGGGCTCACACCCACTTGCCCAGCCCAGAGCCCTGAGAACATGACTGTTGCTTGCTGGGGGCTGTGCGGTGGGCGGCCCAAGGTGGCTGGGGACGCCCCTGGCCCTGGAGGAAGACTCCATGTTTGAATGTTGTTGTTGTTGTTTTGACATGGTTATTCTAGCATGCCCACATTCCAGCATCTCTGTACAAGAATGTTAGGGCTTGAGCCTCTTAAGCTTTTCATGTAGATTTCTATTACGGGAAAGACCAACGGCTTTGGGTGGTAGCATGGAGCCTGAATCAAATTCTCCTAGAAGGAACCGTGCTAGTTTGTGGAGAACCTGGGCCCTGGTGAGGAGAGCCAGCTCTCGTTCAGTGGGGCTTTACCAGATGGGCCACCTAACTGGTCTCCACGATGACCCTGGCTTTTGTGTGTCCTGAGCTCCTGTAGTCCTGGACTGGAGGCTACTTAGGGTTCAGTTTCAGGGATGGGGAGGGTAGTAGCCATCACAGGCTGTATAGCATTTCCTCTGGACGGTCTGGGAGGATTGAGGACTGTCCGCACAGTGACACAGAGGGCCTCATCATATGTCCTGTCCTCTGGAAGGAAACTGTCTCTGTAGGGTAACCTACTTGTGAAGTGCTGACTTTACCGCACGGAAGGGTTAGGTAGACCTCATTCAGAAAGACCCTGTTTAATGCTGCTGCTTGCTGGCTTCATTGTGCTTTGTGCAAAGTTTGTGCACTCCCCTGAACAGATCTCACACTGTAGAAATCAAAATCGGGAGTGGAAATGTCCCCTCCCGCAGCCTACCTTGGGGGCCGAGAGTGGCCTAGAGAGAGCACTCTCTGTGCTCCCTGCATCTGCTCCTGCCAGGGTCCTGTCACAGAAGAGTAGGGTCTTGGGCATGGGGACAGGGCTACTCAGGGCCTGCTGGCCACCCCTCCTGAGGTGTTTCCAGGGCCATGGCCAGCCTGTGGGTCATTTGCTGTGTGGCCTTCTTTCATGTGGGGGACTGCTTTTGTCTCAAGGTGTGATTTGAGTACAAGGCCGTAGGAAGGGGGTTTGGCTCTTGTAGTCAGCGACAATGATGATAGTGCCATCACTAAAACTGCTGGGTCCAAATGAATGGGCAGTCCAAGTCCAGGGTGGTGATTTGCAGTGTCCCTCTACCCGAAGGACATCCTCTGGGAAGGGAGCCATACTGCCCACTTGTGGTGACGTTGTGTACTGCACCTTTCCTATTTGAAGGCCCCTCAGTTGCAGAGGTTGAAGGTGTACTGCCCTATAGGGACTCTTGGCGGCAGACCAACAACCTGCTAAAGTCTGTGGAGATCAGGCATGGTCGCTGTTAGCCTTGAGGATGCACCTGCTCAGCATAGGGTCAGGATCCACTCACATAATGGCTGAAAATTGAGCTGTCCTTTCTCTTCTCTCCCGCATCAGGTTGTCCTGGCCCGAGAACTGGCAACCTCAAGAGAATACGCGAGTAAGTGTGAATTCCCGTGGTCCCTGCGGTGTGCAGAGCAGGGTGGCCTCAGTGTCTGGGTTGGCCATGTTGACAACGGTGCTTAGGCCTTTGCTTCCCCCAGAGCCTCCCTTTGTTAGGTGTGTGGTGCGTCTTCAGTGTTTGTGTTCCTTTTCTCCTGTTGCCACTGGTAGTATCTCACTTCTCTTTCACCCCAAGTTAAAATCCTTGAGAAACGGCACATCATCAAGGAGAACAAGGTCCCGTACGTGACCAGGGAGCGGGATGTGATATCGTGCCTGGACCACCCATTCTTTGTGAAGCTCTACTTTGCGTTCCAGGATGATGAGAAGCTGTGTATCCTTGGAGGGCTCAGGTCCATCTGGGGACCTTGGTGTTTTGGTCTTGTGACCTCAGGGTCTGTTTTCAAGTGGCCCGTTCCCCTGAAAGGAAATGCAGAGACCTGACATGACTTGCTCGAGGATGTTGGAGGGAGGAAGGTGGCACAGGAGCCTCGGGAGCACAGTCTGGAGGTGGGGGGGACAGTAAATGCCACTTCTGAAGGGTTGTTCTCTAGCCCGACACAACTCACTGCCTTTGGATCTTGGCTGTGAACCTGGCTTGGGAGGTTCTGGATGAGCTCTTAGGGGGAGGTGTGTGTGCGCAGGTGTGCCTGCGTCTGTCTGAGGCATTTGTGTTCACACCGTAGGTTACCTGACTGAAGCTAGGAAGTGCCCTCAGTCAGAAGACAGGAAGTCAGCAAGTAATCAGATAAGGGGCAAGAAAGACCATGGCCTGGGCCCACATTCGCTGCACTAGAGAGGCCAGCTCCGATGGGGCCAGCTATCTGCCTAGGGACACTGAGCCGGGCCTGGGGAAAGCCTGCTCGTTGGAGGCCCCAGTATTTGCAGGTTATTTTCTGACTGGTGGCCTCAGCCCTCCTTACAGGATGAGCTGGACAGGCAAGGCAGACAGGGTCTGTCCTTTGGGGGACGCTAGCACCACACACGGGCACACTTCAACTAGAGCTTGGTAAGCTGCAGCAGTGATACCTACTGTTCTGAAGGTGGCACTGTCGGGTAAACACTGGACCACTACCCAGTTGTACATTAAGCAGTTCAAACCAGCCAGCCGCTCCTTGTGAGAAAGATGAGGCTTACTGTTCCTGCAGAGGTTCCCGCCTCGGAAGGCTGGCCTCCAGGGCTGCTGGGAGTTGGAATCACCTGGGTGGCCGTGGCTGTCGGGGAGTCTGTTAGCGGAGCTCTGGTGCTGTTGTGGGCCAGGTGCTGGACTGTTCATTCAGAGGCTGCTCCTTGGGAGGAAGGGCGGGCTCTCTGCTCCTGTAAAGATTTCTAGCCTGGGAAACCCTTCCAAGGGCTGGCTTTGAGTCCGAATCCGCTGCATGCCATGGGGTTTGGGTTTTGTTTGTATTGTGGAGACTGCCCAGGGGCATCCTGGGGACTGTGATCTGGGAGGGGCGGAGAGGCTCACATCCTGTTTTCCCTGGGGTGGCATTAGGGGTAGGAAGTCCAGGGCCTGGAAACAGGTACTTCCAGGGCCACAGGGTGGGTCTGGTCACTTTAATGATATAAAAACTGGTTTTTTACTCTCTTCCTTAACTATGAGATGTTCAGATTTTGGCCTGAGTTATGCCAAAAACGGAGAGCTACTTAAGTATATTCGCAAAATCGGTTCCTTTGATGAGACCTGCACTCGCTTTTACACGGCTGAGATGGTGTCTGCTCTGGAGTACCTACATGGCAAGGGCATCATCCACAGGTGCCACTTGGGGGCGTCAGGCCACAGGCAGCAACAGAACAAGACCCTGCCCCTTGCTGCACAGCTTCACGTTTAAGCCCAGTGTTGTAGCCCCTCTGCCAGTCTACCTCATAGAGGGTCGGCCTCTTTTTCCGTGTACCCTCTGCTAACCAAGGACTGATGGGCAGGGTGGCAGAGTGACTGATGGATGGGCCATCCCCAGTGCCAGCTTTAAGGTGTCTCTGTTTGTGATACAGGCAGATGGAAGGTGCTGCAAGTCTTGATTTTATGGGTGAAAATGATCCTGTGTTCACCATCAGAAATCCATGGTGGCACTAAGAGCCGTTGGCCACATGGCCTTAGGAAGGTGGTGCGGGCTCAGCAGTTGGGGCGGGGGGGGATGTCAGCTCTAATGCAGAAATCTGCCCTTTCAGGGACCTCAAACCCGAGAATATTCTGTTAAATGAAGACATGCACATCCAGATCACGGACTTCGGAACTGCCAAGGTGCTCTCTCCCGAGAGCAAGCAAGGTGGGTGTGCTCACCACTGATGACAGGAGGCCGTCCCCTGGACCACCACCCAATCCTCTCCTGCAGTCTCTGGTTCCAGAGAGCGCCTGCTACTGCTGCTGATTCCCTGGATCTGCCTCTGGTCATCAGTGCAGGGCCGGGTGCAGGCAGGCTTGTCTAGTGGATACTGGTCATCGCTCTTTCCAGGTGGTATGTGGTGACAACTGTGTCACCTACATGGCCCGGCAGTGAGGTCGCTTGTCTTAGCCACGCAAGGTCCTGGTCGTCTTTCAGGCCTTTCAGAAGAAATCACAGCTCTGAGCAGCACCTTAGCTTCTGGAATCTGCTTTAGAGCAGTAGCTAGAGGCAGGTGAAGGCCTTGGTGGTGGTGGAGGCAAAGGGAGCTGCTGAGGGGCAGGGTGAGTAAGTGGACTCGCGGGTGAGCTGGCGCCCCGAGAGGGGTGGGTGGTGGGCAGTTAGCTGAGGTGCCGCAGGGCCTTGGCATCTGGCTTGAAGCTACTGCTCCCACAGCCAGTTTGGACTGGTGGGGAGCAGGGTAGTAGCAGCACAGCTCGTCTGAGCTAGATGTCGTCTCCTGACTGTGAACCTTGTGAGCATGTGTGTGCCTGTGTGAACACAATGTTTGACATTCAGGGACCTCGGGTTTCTGGTGGGAAGGTTCCCGTTTCTCTGGAGTCTATACCTGTGAGTAGACTCGCTGGGTCCTATTGTAGGTTTGCACAGTGGGTAAGCATTGGACTGCTAAGTGAAAGGGCAGCAGTTGGAACCCAGCAGTCTGCTTCCCTGAAAGTTTGCAGCCTCGGAGCACCGGCTCTGTCCTATGAGGTCCTATTAGTCTGGCCGTGGGTTTTTAGGGACAGTAAATTTATGCTAAACCTGCTCAGGAACTGCCAGGCTGGCTTCCAAAGGGGTGGGGCCATTTGACCCTCTCCGGATCAGCATCCACCCAAAACCCAGATCTACTGCCATCAAGGCAGCCTCTGGGAGCTGGTAGGCGTAGCTGGTGGGTGTGGCCCCCTGGGGCTCTATCCCATGTTCTTGGCTTGGCCTTCACAGATCGAAAGAGGGATCTGGGGAGCCAGATAGGAGAAAAGGTGCGGATTCTCACCAGCCATGAACATGTCCCCATTGTGAATGTGGGGAGTGAGAGCCCTTCTCTCCAGGAGAAATCACAGCTGTCCTCCTGAACAGTTCCAGTGACCTAGAGTCTGACAGATGCCTCCGTGCTCCTCACTGCTTTGAAAGGACTGGAACTGCAGACCCGCTGCTCAGTCTTTTTAATGAATGCACCAATATAGCCTGGTTACTGTGCAACCAATGTATGGTTTAATTATTTTGATACTTGCATTTCATTCTAAGTGATCTAACATGCAATCAAGATGTGTTGATAATTACTGGTGACCGGAATGTGAAAGTTGGAAACAAAGAATTGGTAGCTGAAAACTGTAGCCTTTGTGATGGGTAGGATGCTGGAGATTGTTAGAATTTTGCAAGGCCAATGAGTTCTTCATTCCAACAACATAAATCATGACCCACTCATGAGGAACCGGTACATAGAACAAGAGGCAGTCCTTCAAACGGAAGCAGTGGAGCCTGTATTGCTTAAAATAAGGGATGGTTTGTGCCAGGGTTGTAGCCTTTCACTGTACTGCTTCAGTCTGTGTGTTAAGCACGTACTTTAGGAAGTTGGAGTATATGAAGAACAGTGTGTCATGTTCGGAGGAAGACTCAGTTGAAAGAGGATTTAGCCTACAATATGAGATACACCTCAACATAGAACACAAATCCGAACAATAAACATCATCATGATCAACAGAGAAAAAGATGGAATTTGTTAAAGATTGCATTGGTCTTGATCATGTGGCCAACACCACCCGTGGAAGCCGCAGTCCTCAGAGAAGCGCCGAGCATCAGAGAGCCCGCGGGTGAGCTTGCAGGAAGACGTGCTGATGTCAAGGGCCACCTGTGGATGTCCCGGAAACCAAGAGCTGGGAGAAGCGGCTCTGCAGGATAGCCGGTGACAGCCAGGGACTAGCGCTGCCTGAGCCTTGCTACCACCCGCAGAGCTCCCTGGCTCCCCCCCAGCTTGTCGCCTGCTACCGATGTGTGTCCTTCACTGTGAGGGGAGCACAGTTGACTAAGGCTCTGTGGGTGTGTCTGGGGAAGGTCATGGGCAGGGGGCTTGGTGTGTTTGCCCTCGGAGTGCAGATGAGAGCCTGTTCTGCACAGACTTGGCCACTGCTGTGCTGGTGAGAAGCTGGGGAGGAGCCTGGGCGACCACCCCTGTGTGACCTCCCTTCTCCCTCTTGTCTTCAGCCAGGGCCAACTCGTTTGTGGGGACCGCTCAGTACGTCTCTCCAGAGCTGCTCACAGAGAAGTCGGCCTGTAAAAGGTAATCATTTTGCTGTCTTTAGAGACTAGTATTGAAGCTGCTTTGAGAGATGCTTCCTTTAATCCACATGCCTACTCCCACGGCAGTCCCAACACGAAAACAACCCACCCTTGGCTCCATAGGACCCGGGGGGGGGGGGGTAACTGTTTTTAAAGGGGCACTACTTAGTGAGCTTTCACAACGTTTGACCCCGTTACTTGTGAACCAGCTTTTCCTTGCTTTTAAGTTTTCCTCTTAAATGAAGAAGTTCCTCAGCACTGGAGTGGAGAGGTCTCCAGTGTCTGTCAGCGAGGTAGGAGGACTCAGACTGGCCTGCATAGTTAGCCACAGGTTGTGTAAATAAGAGAAAGAAGCCAGCAAACATGTATTTTGTTTGATGACACATGTATTTAGAGTGTTTTAGAACATCCATGTACTCTCTCTTTTTTTTTTTTCCATGTACTCTCTTGGATGGCACGTGCATTTAGAATGTTTTGGAAGGATGTATCAGAAGCAGAGAGCAGGGATATCCTGGGGCTGGGTAAGGGAGCCATCCTAGTGCCATATTATGACACACATGCGAGGAGTCCTAATGTGGCACTGTAAGATAAGCACTGGACTGTAACCACAGGGATGGCAGGTCACATCTATTAGCCGCTCCTTGGAAACCCTATTCAGGGTCATTATTAGTTGGAATTGAAGGTCACTAAACAACACCGTCCACACTACAGTGTGCATAGGCATGGAACATACAAAGCGTGTATCTTTCTATGCTTATTAGCTTTTAATCATGGTGTTTATTCGAGGATCATTTGAATTCTTCTTCTGATTCTAAAAGCTCTCGTGTCATTGTAAAGACTTCTCAGAGACACTAGCAACTACAGTGCAGAAAACACACCTAGTGCCCAGGCCCAGAGATAACTGGGTAATAATTCAATGTCTTTGGAAGTCCTTGATTTCTGTGCTTTGTGTGCGCTTGCACCATTCTTATACGTCAGAGATCACTGTGAGTAACTAGTGTCATGCTGGTCTCTGGTAGAATGAACCTTCTCCTCACCAGTAGAATCACTTGCAGACATTGGAAATACATGCCACGTGGCTTCCTGGTGTGCTGTTCTGGTGCCTCCTCACAATGGCTGCTGAAGTGGTCCTTGGTTATTAGCAAACTTTGTCCTGTCCACCATGGCCTGGGCTGTGGTGAAGATCAAAGGTCACAGCCTTAGGTATGGGTTGCATCTCAGTTTAAAGAAAACAATAATCCTCACTACTGGACCAATCAACAATATTCATATAAACGTAGCAAAGATTGAAATTGTCAAAGACTTCATTTTGCTTGGATTAACCATCAGCACTCACAGAAGCAGCAGTCAAGAAATCAAATGTCTTACATTAGGCAAATCTGATGCGCAATATCTCTTACAATTGTTGAAGAGCAAAGATACCAACCACCTTGAGCACTAAGGTGTGCCGGACCCAAGCCATGGTATTTTCAGTCACCTCAGATGCATGTGAAAGCTGGACAGTGAATAAGGAAGACCGTAGAAGAATTGATGCTTTTGAGTTATGGTGTTGGAGGAGATTGTTGAAAGAACCAACAGATCTGTGTTGGAAGAAGCGCAGCCAGAGTGCTCCTTGTAGGCCAGGATGGCCAGGCTTTGTCTCTCATACTTCAGACATATTGTCAGGAAGAACTAAACCCTGGAGAAGGGCATTCTGTTTGAAAAGTGGAGGGTCGGAGAAAAAGAGGAAGACCCCCAGAGACATGGATTGGCACAGTGGCAGCATCAGTGGGCTCAGGCCAAGCAATGGTTATGAGGTTGGCACAGGGCCACGCGGTGTGTTGTGCATAGGGTTGCTGTGAGTCAATGCTGATTGAATGACACCATCTTGCTGACAACAGTCTGAACATTTTACACATTTTCAGTACTGAATGCTTTCCTCAACAGTGCTGGCTTCCCCTGTAAATACCCCATTGATTCACAGGTAGAGAGTTACCAGAAAGCCTTTTTCTTCTACATTCCTTCTTTCCTGAGAAAGCCATCCCCTCCCCCACCTGCCTGCATTGGTGGGGCGCTCTGTCAGCCTTTTGCTTACCCCATTGTAAATTAGACTTAATGATGGAAAGCCAAGTGTGAACACTGCTCACTGAGTTGAATGTGAGGTGGTCTGTAACTTGATGCCATTGGGGGCCAACACTAAGAGGTGCGGGAATCTGTCCTCACTGCTGTTGCGTGTGTCCTTAGCCAGGAGCTTGTTCTCGGTGGGGGGGCGGGGTTGCTGTCTCTGGGTATTCTAGGCCCAGACCCCGGTGGTGTCCCAGGCTGTGTTTTTGGAGAGAGGAGGCACTGACACCGAATGGGCAGTTCACCTGGAATTGAAGGTGGGCCCTGCATGGCATTTGGTTTTACCAATGGTTTTCCATGCTTTTCCTCCTCTCTAAAGCTCCGATCTTTGGGCTCTTGGCTGCATAATCTACCAGCTTGTGGCCGGACTCCCACCCTTCCGAGCGGGGTAAGACTGAGTGCTCTCAGCTCTGGGAATTGTGTTGGGGGGTGGGGGGGGTCCGACGCAGGGCATCCCGCCGAGACCTGACTGGTGATTTGTTTGCACAGGAACGAGTACCTCATCTTCCAGAAGATCATTAAGTTGGAATATGACTTTCCAGAAAAATTCTTCCCCAAGGCGAGAGACCTTGTGGAAAAGCTTTTGGTAAATGCCAAGAATGTCTGCACAGCCCCGCCCACACCCTCTGCCCCCGTGTCCAGAGGCCCCTGTGTGTGGTGACTGAACATCTGCAGGTGGACAGTGGTTGTGGAGAGACTCCTATCTGATCCCTGGCCCCCACCCCTGCGCATTCGCTCATCAGCGTGACACTGGGGCGACAGATGGCCCAAGACATTCCCCCCTACGCCACCCCGAGTGCTGCCAACTTTTAGGATGGGAGTCACTGGAGGAAGCCATCGCGCCTTTCTCCTGACCCGGAGGGTGGGAGAGGGGGTCAGTGAGCCTCCAGGGGAGACCTCAGTGCATGACTCCAGCCACCAGGCCAGTTTCTGTCCGGGCCTAGTGAAGCCAAGATGCTCAGTTCTTAACTGTCTTACTTTCTTAAGTCAGGAAATGATTACTCATTTTCTCCTGAGGTGAGAGACATGGAGGGGGCCTGGGGGCCAGTGCAGACCTTCCCCGGCCCCTGCTCCTTTGAGAAGTTGTTTTTATGCCAGTGACGTTTTAGTTGTCACGCTGACCCATCTTGATCTCCATCCAAGGTCTTAGATGCCACAAAGCGACTGGGCTGCGAGGAGATGGCTGGGTACGCGCCGCTGAGGGCCCACGCCTTCTTTGAGTCCATCACGTGGGAGAACCTGCACCACCAGACTCCCCCGAAGCTCACTGCGTACCTGCCTGCCATGTCCGAGGACGATGAGGACTGCTACGGAAACGTAAGCCGGGCGCAGTGCAGTCCTGGCAGGGGAGTGCCCTTGAGCACGCCTGGGGGAACCTGCTGGGACTAAGGCCCGCTCTCACCCCGCAGTATGACAACCTCCTGAGCCAGTTTGGCTGCATGCAGGTGTCCTCGTCATCCTCGTCCCATTCACTGTCGGCCGTGGAGTCGGGGCCGACCCAGCGCTCGGGCAGCAGCATCGAGCACTACATCCACGACCTGGACTCCAACTCATTTGAGCTGGACTTGCAGTTCTCGGAGGACGAGAAGAGGCTGCTACTGGGGAAGCAGGCTGCAGGGAACCCTTGGTGAGTGCTGAGGGGGGTGAGGGGGGGAAGTGTAGTGCCGGGCCACCAGGTGTGGAGGCTCCTGCGGCTGTTGTAACCCCTGCCCTGTGGTCAGACACTTGGCCACATTTCTGAGTTTCTGCTGCTGGCCTTGCCTCTTTTTGAGCTCTGCTGTTAGGGTGGAACCCTGGGTGGGTAGCAGCTGGGAGCGAGGCCCACCTGATAGGGTGCCTGGGATTTGTGTCAGCAAGTCAGTCTTGTCTTCCAGCCAGTGCTTTGACCAACTGACCCAGCTGTTAGGGTCAGCATCTTGGGTGCTTGCCGGCCATTAGGATTTAGGGTTTGAAGCATTTGGTGTCCTTTGTCTACTTGTCTCTTTGTGTGTTTTGCATCTTTTAACAAAGAACGTTTAAGGCTGTACATTGCTAAGTGCCATCAAGTCAGTTCCGACTCATAGCGGCCCTGTATGGGGTTTCTAAGGCTGTGCATCTTGGCGGGAGTAGAAAGCCTCTCTCTCTCCCAAGGAGTGGGTGGTGGGCCCGAACCGTGGTCCTTGTGGTTCGCACTCCAGTGCTGAGTCTACAGAACCACCCACTCAGAGGCTGCCTAGATGAAGTGTGTGTCTCCTTTATTGGCTGTTAATGTGGACGGTGTTTCAGTGTGTTGATGCTGAGGTTTTTTGGGCAATGGATTGATAGCATGGAGGAACGCAAACATGGGCAGGTTGGGTTTTGTTTTCTATGTGCAGATGCACTTATTTCTTAGGTTTTCTTGTGAATTAGATGAAGGGTTTGCAGAACAGATCACCAGTGTTCCATGCAATACACAATAATTCAGACACAATTCTGTTTCATCTCAGTGATTGTCGCTCCACAGTGGCACAGCAGTCATCTCCATTCCTCCTCCTCTCCTCACCCTTCTGGTCTTTGTCCTGGGCAAGGGCTGCCCTTTGACTCTCACATGGCTGCTGCTTTAGTGGGGCTGGGCACTGACCCGGTCTCATTGTTGCCCTGGAAGGCTAACTGAGGCCCATGGTCTTGGGATTTCATCAGTCTCTACCTGACCGAGCCTCCAGGGTATGTCTCTCTTTCCTCTTCCCTTCCTGAGCCTGTTACACTGCGCTGCCCAGCCCCACTATGGACTAGGCCTTTCTCCAGTGGTGTCCGGCAGCTGGCCCCAGTGGGTGTGGAGCCTCCTAGGGAGGACTAGAGGACTGGCTTAGGCAGGAGAGTGGAGCCGGGTCACTGGGTAACTGTTGGGGGAGGAGACAATGGCTGTCATGGTGGAGAACAGGCTGAAGCAGCGAGGAGAAACCGTGGCGTTGCCTCTCTGAAAATGATGTGTCTCAAAGAGTGGGGCGCTGCACCTGTCCTACACGTCAGGGTCTGCTAATGCAGTCTCCTGGGTTTCTGGCCTCTTTGGTTTGAGAAACAAGGAGCCAAACCTCTGTCCACCGTTGTGGGGGCACGCTGGAGCTCTTGTGAGGCACTTAACATTCCTCCAAGTGTTGGACCCTAGCTGGGCTGCCCTGGCCTGCCTCTCTGGGCCACAGCTGGATGGCCCCTCACCACCCAGCAACAGGGTGTGGCTTCAGTTTCTCCAGTGTAGACAGCACAGCTGGGGTGGTTCTTCAGAGGGTTCTGGAAGGAAGGGCCTTGCAGTCCCCGTCTGAGAGCTGCAGTAGCAGAAACCAGCAGCAGTCCTGCCTCTCTGTGAGGAGACGAGGGGGCAAGGTCCAGGCAGCCGTGCTCTCTCAGCTTCTCCTCCTGGGCTGTCTTCCTGTGTCTGGGCGTGTCTCTTCACCCACTGCCGCTTGCTCCCTTACTCCTTAGGTGGACTCAAGACAGCCTTCCTATCGCAACAGACAGCCCATCTGGCCACTGGCATAGAGGGTAGGGTATCTTGGGGACACAATTCAGTCCCTGTCCCTCTCAACCAGGGCCACCAGAGCTAAGCAGGAACAGTACTTGCACTGCGTCCCCTCAGCATCCACCTGAGCCCCACCACACCCTGGTCCCACAGACTAGTGGGCCCATCTGGTCACCTGCCGCTGTGTCTCGTTAGCTGTGTGGCACCGGGGTTGTGAGAGAGTAAGCCCCTCCTCCTGAGGCTGGACAAGTGTCTAGTCCGCTTTGCTGTTTGGGTAGTGTTTCTCGGTCATCCTTCTGGTCATCCGATTGTCATACTGCTGCCTATGAAAGTTGAGGCCCCCTGTCGCCTGTGTGTCTGTCCGAACTGCGTACCTTCTCATCGGTCCCCTCATGGGTTGAGGTGACCCTCCTACCCCTGGGCGGCTGCTGCTGAGTGCCACCAAGTCAGTCCTGACACAGAGCCGCCCCCGCATAGAGGTCAATTGTTGTTGTTGTTAAGTGCTGTGGAGTCGGTTCTGACTCATAGTGATCCTGCACAGGGGGTCCGAGGCTGTAAATCTTTACAGGAGCAGAACACCTCATCTTTCTCCTGCAGAACAGCTGGTAGTTTCAAACTGCTGACCTTGAGGTTAGCAGCCCGATTCGTAACACTACGCTTTAGGGGTTCAATTAGAGACATGTAAGATGAATGCGGCCTGACGTGGATAAGCAGTGTTTTCCCCTCAGTAACTTGTGGTTCTCCTTTGCTAAAGCCATCTGATGGGGCTGCTTTGTGACCCGCTTCCTGAAGGTGTGTCTTGTGTTGGTCGTGGGTGTGCTTTTCAGAGATCTCGAAGCTCCTCCCTGCTTGTCCTGCCTGGTGAACCGTAGAGGTACACTGTCTCATTCCAGAAACCCCACAGAAAGGATTGTAGGTCGACCACCTGTCCCACCCAGGGCTGTAGGTTGTCTGTCTGTCTGCTGCTTGCCTTTGAGCGTGGGGAGCGAAGCCTGGCTCTGCTTCTCATGGCTCTCCCAGCACCTTCCTCGGAAAGTCTCAGGAATCACATTGGCCAGCACTGGGCCCTCAGTTGGTGACGAGGGGCAGATTTTGGGTCAGTCTCTTTACTTGAGTCTTCCCCCAAGCCCCCAGGAACCGGGAGAGGAGCAAGTTAGAGAAAGTGTACTTTTTTTTTTTCTGTTGAGGTGACAGTTGTCTTAGGTTTGACCAGCTATTCAAACCTAAACCTAAGTGAACCCCATTGCTGTATTCTCTGTGGCAGTAAATCACTGTGTCTTCTTTTCTCCTGTGGAGAGTGGGTTTGAACGGCGACCTTCCAGTTAGCACCACCACCAGTTGTTAGGACTCAGCGCCATTCCCTGCTGTCAGCTGTGTACTTCCTGTGTACAGTCAGGGACAGGACAGGTGCTGGGGGAATCACCCAAGCAAAAACCCATGGCTGGCGAGTTGGTTCTGCTCTCCAGCTGTGATCCTTCAGGCTCTCTCCTGAGGAAGCCTGCCCTCCTTTCTACTGCAGAGAAGCAGCTGGACTCCACCCACCAGCCTTCCCTTGTTAGAGCCCCCAGCACAGCTCCTCCTTCAGCTACAAAACACAGAGCAGGAATGGCAGCAACTCCACCACTCCCAGGGGGATGTAAGTGGGAGACGTGACCCACACTTGTTAAGAACACCATCTTTAACATCTTCAAGGCAGGCACGCTTGTCAGCGTGGAAGTGAAGCCTCGTGCACTGAAGCAGAACCTGCATCGGGAGCTTTCTTTGCAGACACGTGCACACACCTGTGTGCACACGCACCCAATTTGAATGTGTTTGCTTTTCACTGTGGCAGGAATTCTAGGTGAGAAGTTTGGTGGCTAGTTTCAACTCTGGCCTTCTAGCGAGTTGTGATTTTAGATTGCCCTGTGGAATTGACCGTGTGTGGGGCTCTGCCTTGGGAAGGGACTGAGTTAGGAACTGTGGTCAGTATACCTGGGTGGCTCCCAGCGCCGCTCCACCTCGTGGCAGTTTTTGTGTCTTCAGCCTCTAGAGCAGGCCTAAAGTCGGGCAGGTGAGTGCAGACTTTGCACTGGGGGGCGGTGTGTACTGTGAAGAGGATGGTTCCTGGGGTGAGGTATTTGGAGGAGTTCTGTCCCCCACCCTCTGAGTTTCTCATTCTCATGTTTTCTTTTTACAGGCATCAGTTTGTAGAGAATAACTTAATACTGAAAATGGGTCCAGTAGATAAGCGGAAGGTAAGTCCCCACGCTGCCCCAGGGCACGGGTCGCCATTGGCTCCCAGCCCCTTCACCTTGGCTCACTATTGCAAGGTTGGCTCTGGGTTCAATAGTGGGGCAATGTGGGGTTGCCACCTGGGAGGCAGTGCTCAGAGCTACCAGCAGGCACCCTAGTATGAGGGGCCTTCAGAGTCCCCTCAGATTTCATGGGATTGGCTTTATGGAGACGCAGGTAGAGCAGCCCCCTGGATCTCTAGCCCACCTGGATTTCCCTGCTTTTGTATTCAAGCACCTGGACCCCTACCTCAGGGCGAGAAGGAGCACACGGATGCTACCCTGTCTTAGTCAGGGCTGGGCTGGCTGTCCCGGGCCCCTTGCTCCTCAGAAACTCTGCAGTGGCTGCTGAGCCTACTGGTCTGCTGGGGAAGCTGTCAGCACCCCCTTTAGTGCTTAGTGATGGACCCTGTGTGTTTCCAGGGCTTATTTGCACGACGGCGACAGTTATTGCTCACCGAAGGGCCCCACTTATACTATGTGGACCCTGCCAACAAGGTGCTCAAGGGGGAGATCCCGTGGTCCCAAGAGCTCCGGCCAGAGGCCAAGAACTTTAAAACTTTCTTCGTGCACACAGTGAGTGTGGGCTCCCTGGCTCAGGCCTGCCCTGATCTGGGAGTTGGGGGTTGACATAGAACTGGGTGTCGGCGGGGAGGGCTCCCCGTGTGCTGGCTGCAGAGTAGCTGACTGCTGTGCCGGGTGGCCGTCCGTCCTGCAGCCCAACAGGACCTACTACCTGATGGACCCCAGCGGCAATGCCCACAAGTGGTGCCGGAAGATCCAGGAGGTGTGGAGGCGCAGCTACCAGAGCCAGCCAGCCGCCGCCGTCCAGTGACAGGCCAGCGTCCTCAGGACCCTCCCAGATCCCCCGCCGGCCCCTCCCGGGGAGAGCAGACACCGCCGGACACCTAGGCGCTTTCTTATTTAAGAGAAAAGGAGACAAACCAACCCACCACCACCAGGCACAAAACCACGAGCAGACACGCAGGGCTTCAGGGCTGCTTCGCTCGTTCTCTATGCTTCTGTGGGGACCTGGAGCCCGCTTCCTGCTCGGCACCCTGCCCCTGCTCCAGACCCGTGGCCCAGCCTCTCGTGTGCCATCACCCGCACCTTTACGGGGGGCGGTGCTTTCTCCCTCCCACACCCTGTGCTTCTGGCCCAGCCTGACCTCACGTTAGCCCCAGCTGTAAGATCCCCATGGTTCTGGCCCTCATCTTGTGAGATCAGATGCCCTGGTGAGGCGGGGGTGCAGTGAACTGCCAGTTCTCATCCCAGGGATGACACAGGGTGGTCCCTTAGGGCCTCCTATGGGGCAGGGAGAGCTGATCCTCCCCAGTCTGTTTCAAAGGGTTGATGTGGCCCTGTATTGGCCAAGTAGGGTTGAGGGGAGCTTCGGGTGGAGCAGGTGTGGCAGCTCCCCCATCACCCCAGTTAGCTGTGGTCAGATGCCAAGCTTCCTGTCTCATCAGGATCCGGCCACTGGTCCCTTAAAGGGTATAGAGTGGATTGGGACTGGGAGGAAGGGTTACCCATTCACCACTGCAGAAAAGAGGGGCAAACTGCCTCTAGCATACACACACCCACACACCTGTCCCACCAGTCATACCTGATCTGAGCACTCCCCCTTTGCCCCCCTACTCCCACCACATGCACGTCTGTACTTGAGCATACCTGATCTAAGAGACACACACACACACAGCACACTCACACGCACTGAGCTGACCGCCCGCTTCCCGGTTCTGGGCCGCATCTTGTGCATGGCTGGCTGCTGCTTGTCTCGGGCTCTGGGTAGCACTCCCGGTTCTCAGTTTCCCATCACCTTCAGTCAGTTCTCAGTTAATGGCACTGATGTGAAAGGCCCACAGGATAAAGACTTGGCTATTTGGAGTTTCACAAAGTGGCAGGAACAAAAGGCTCAAATCGGAACAAGGTTCCCTGCTCCTACCTGGAATGAGCCATCTCCATCTCGGGGTGTGAGGCCAGCCCTCACTGAGGAAGCACCTCACTGGGCTGCAGAGGGGCAGTGGCCTTCACTCTGGCCTCTGCCCCACGGGCAGCTCCTCTACCTCCTACTCAGCCCGAGGCCTTGGAAGCAAATTTGGGGTGGAGTGCGTTTAGATGTGTACCTGAGTATCCGTGTGCACAGGCTTGGAAAAGGAAATGATTGTTGTCTAGGTGAACTAGTGAGGATGAGGGGGCCTCAGAGTGGACAAAGGCAAACCCAACATCACTCCCGGGGGCGGGACACACCAGCTGGGCCATCTTGTGGGACTAGAGAGGTCACCTGACTGGGAGAGGGTATCCCTCCCCTCTCATGGACCCTTGGCACTTGGTGTGTATACCAGACCGTTCTTCCCACCCCTGGGGCCCAGTGCTGCTCAGAACCTATTGAAAGCCAGCTTTGGGGAAGGGCTTCTGGGAGCCTCCCTACTTAGCCCAGTGCTCTTCTCTGGCCTCCCCAGCTCCCCCTCGGGGCTCTCCTTGTACTCTGGAATCAGTTGGAGGCTGGCCAACTGGCCAGAGAGCATTTGAGTGTAGCTCCTGCTCTGTGTGTCATTGCCCTGTCCCCTCTACCCCCCACCCCCCCCAAATGCACATACACACTGGTTTGCTTTCCTGACCAGCCTGGGAGTGGACAGCACAGACTTGTTTTCGTAGATATCCAGCCTTCTCCATTGATTCTTTGAAGCATTTTCCCAGGTCGTGAAGAATTCTGCCAAAAGAAACCGTTTTCAGAATTTTGTGGTTATCAGTCGCCATCTACCTGACCATTTCCCTGTTGTGAACCACTTAGGTGGTTTCTGTGTTTTTGTTTTTCCTCATGATTTAGATAATGCTGTGATGAATAGCCTTATAAATCTTTGGTTTTGACTGCCCCTCCCTGCCCCCCCAACTCCCTAGAAGTGGTGGTTTGGGTCCGAGTTTGTTGGTTTCAGAGGTAGTGTTCGCTCTCCTCCTCTTGATCTGCTGCTTTGCTGCTCAGAGTCCCAGAACCGCCTCCTGAGTTCTGTCCCGATTCTGAGCACATACATGAGTTTCTCATCAGTCAGGTGTCCCAAAGAAGGTTTGAACAAGCCCACTCTGTTGTTGTTAGTGCTAAAATACTGTCAATGCTGCTGTCCATCTCTGACCGACTGCCCAAGAACCAGCCTCCTTGTCGTTGGAAGGTCTGCCGGTGCCTGCATGCTAGTCCCCCCCTCTGTCCGCTGCTCCTCATTTCACCTGCTCAGCCACCTTGGCCGCCTCTGTACTCACTGGCCACTATGGTACTGAACTGACATCGGTGCAGTCAACGGAGAGAACAGGTGTCAAACTGGTGAGGCCACGTGCTCAAGTGGGTGACTGCCTTGTTAACTTGGATTGACTCAGTATGCCTCCATTGGACCATTTAGAATCAGAAGAGCTTTCATGCTCAGAAAAACAACAGCCCTGTAGACTGGTTGGATTTTACAGGTGTGTCTTTGTCTCCCCTCTTCAAATTGACTTCACCAGGAGGAGGTTTTAGTGGACCTGGCTGGTGTGATGCCTTGGGCTCCCCCTCCTCTGTTTTCTGCCCGTGGAAGGTTGTCTGCAAGTTCAGACCACCCACCTTGGTTTCAGTCTTCATTTCTCCACTTTCGTGTATGTGTGTGTGGCTGCGTTGGGGAGGGCATGGATACTCTTGACGGTACACAGCTTGCCTGATTATCCAGGCACTGCGCCCATTGGCACTGAACTCCACCGGAGGCTGCGGTTGAACTGTGCCGTTAGGTCTGCCTAGTGCCACAAATCCCCTCAGCCCTGGCTGGCCCACAGACCAGGCAGTACTGGCCACACCTGCCCTGAGAGTCCGGTGACAGTACTGGCCTGAGAGTTGGCCGTGTGCATTTTCCCATTTTGCTGCTTCTCAGCCCCATCTGCAACATGAGCTGGGGGTAACTTGAGAGGGCGTGGTCTTCTCATGAGGTTGGAGTGGCCACTCACTGGCACAAGATCACAAGAGTTGAAAATCAGCCTGCCTGTGGAAAACTGGTCAGGGGAGGATGCTGCTTCAGCCCAGAGCAGTGTAATCTAGCTCAGCCTGCCATGGTGGACAACTGAGTAAGACCACAAGTCTACCTGAATTTCTGCATAACTCACTTCTTCACTATGAAGAAACACCAAACTTGATGTACAGAGAGCTTTTTACAAAAGGCAAACCTTTTATAGCTGTGTAATCCACCCTAGTTGAACCCTTCTGGCTGAGTGATGCAAATGGGGGTCATTTTGCTGGTGAAAAGCCTTTATTGTGACCACGAGTTGGACTGGACGCTGGCAAAATGAAACCATGGCAGTGGTTAGGGCTGCTGTTGCTGTTAACCACCTAAAATAGGAGGAACCAATAGTATGTTAGCTGTCTTTCAGGTTGGTGGCAGTCAGTTAGAATGTGTAATATTCTCTACCTGGTCTGTAGCTGTAACTGTGATGTACAGGCAAAGCAAAATTTAAAAACAAAACTTAGGAAAACAAATAATGCAATGATACTAGGATATACACTTTTGTATTTTATTCTTATATAAGGTTATTTGCTGGCTGTTGCTGGCCTCTAGTTCAGTCTGTGTTATTTAAATTCTAATATATGAATTATTTGGATTGAATTCATGTTCGGGGCCACGTTGTTGTATGTATTGATGTACAGCCTTGAATGTGAATAATTATTGTAAACTATATTTTACAAATTTTTTTCTGGCTTTATTATATAAATTTTCTATTTGGTCAATGATTTAATCATATAATTTAATGAATCTGTTTATGCTCTTTATTTCAAGTATTTGTGCTTTAGATGTAGTGCCCGGATGATGAATTTTCCACGTATGCTCGGTAGTCTTGTAATAAAAAAGGCATGTAGCGGTGTACACGTTTGTTGGCCTGGATGTTATTTGGGGGGAGCGGGGAGGGGGGGCGGGGGTAGGGACGAGGGACGCAGCCCTGGTAGTCCACCTCGAGCAACGTAATAGCAGGCTCCGGCCAGAGGGGGGCCCGACTGGCCACTTTTCCGGACCGGAACTTCCGCCTACCGCGTGACGCCGGGGCGGGCGCGTTACAAGGGCGGACCCGTGGGCGGGACTGAACCTGGAGGACCGTATTAAAGGGCGGACGCTTCCGGTAGAGGGGCGCTGTGGCGGGGCTTGCTGGGATCATGGCGGAGAACCACTGCGAGTTGCTGCAGCCGGCCCCGAGTGGTCTCGGGGCGGGGCTGGGGGGCGGCCTATGCCGCCGCTGCAGCGCGGGGCTCGGCGTCCCAGCCCAGCGCCCTGGCAACGTGTCCAAGTGGGTCCGACTGAACGTCGGCGGCACCTACTTCCTCACTACCCGGCAGACGTTGTGCCGGGACCCCAAATCCTTCCTGTACCGTTTGTGTCAGGCGGACCCCGACCTGGACTCGGACAAGGTGAGGGCCGCGCGGGCCAGCCTCGAGGGGCCGGGCCGCCCTGTCTGCGCACCTCCCCCTCCCGCGTCCCCGACCCCCCAATCCTGGGCCTCGAGGGTCCCAGCCGCTTCTCGGGCTGTTACTTCTTTCGCCGTCTCTGCACTTCGGTGGAGCCCGGACTTGGCTGGGACTCCGCTTTCTCTTCCGCCCTTTGCCCTGGGTGTGTGAGCGCCTGTCCGTCTCCGCCCCGGGGCCCTCTTTGGATCTGGAAATGGAGCAGAGCATTCTTCTCATCTTGTTACCTCCGGACGTGGGGCTCGGGGCTTGACCCAAGCGGCCTTTCTTCCCGGGTGACTTGGCATTTAGAGGGTTGGTGCTCCGTGTGGAATTTTCGGTGCTGGAATAGTGCTCATGGTGTGGAGTAGCTCCGAGGGCTCAAGGTGGGAGAACTTTAGTTTTCTCACGGCCTTAGCAAAAGCCTAGGCATTTCTGAGCTTTGCATCAGCTCGTATTTTATCTAATTAAAGGCCCCTGCTGCCGCGTGGATTTTAATAGACGCTACCGCGATTGTTACCTTTGGTCTGTAAGAATCGTGTGGCCGACAGGAGAGCTTGGCTTGGGAATGGTACAGGATTGGAATTCGGCTGCTGGAAGACGCCTGCCTGAAGAATCGTTGTTAGCTTTGTTTCTCCTGGCAGTTCCCAGCCTCCTCCTAACTTGCCTGGGACTATCAGTTAAGCCGACTTCATGGCACTTGGTTGACCCGGTGTCTGGCCTGCCCCATATTTGCGCAGCATGAGGCTTCTCAGAAAGGCTGAGCTCCTTCACGAAGCCTAGTAAAAATTCTCAACATGCCATGACCTTCTGATCAGGAAATGAAAACCACCCAACCCAGTCTCTAGAAAGTGGGGTTTCAGATGCCAGACCTGACTCCAGCTGTTCCCACTGCTCCCCACTCACCTACCAGAAATGACTGGCCTCTCCCATCTAGAAACAGGCTTTTTCTGTTAGCCGAGAGTTTCCTTTTATAGTGTGGGTGTACATTGGATAGTCTAGCTCTTCTCTTTAAAACCATAGAGCTTAGTGGCTGCACACTTGGCCTTTCTGCTCAGTGTGCCTGGTTTATGTATCAAGTCAGCTTTTAAAGTGCTCTTGGCCTTGGGGTTGGGTTGAGGCAGTGACTTATATTCAGTCCTGGAACAATCGATCCAGAAGCAGATTAGCTTGAGTGCACAGCTCAAGTCAATTTTTGCTGTCTCTTAAGACTACTTCAGGATAAATACATAAATGCTTTCCTGGAATAGGAACCCTGGGGAAGGGGGGGGAGGTAATTATCAGAATTCACCTGTGTTACTGGTGACCTTTTTCATCATCTCCCTATTACAGTAGCTTTCCAATGGTGAGACAGGAGTTAGTGCCGGAAGATATCCCTGTGACAAGAAGCAGTTGGTGGTAAATAAGTTTTGGGTTTAGTCACAGACAGTGGGACATTGCACAGGTACTGCTAGTGCACATTAGTCACATCAGGGGAGTGGATTGTTTCCAATGAGGTCTTCTCAAATCTCAGGCTGTTTGCTTTTTTGTTACTGTTTTTCTGATGGAAGACTGTCCTGACATTCCCTCCTAGATTATTGAACCCTGAGTGAAGGCTCTGAAGATGAGGCTGGAGGGGAAGGGGTGTTAGGAAGGGATGGAACAAACAGGATGTTGATTCACAGGTGAAGTTTCAGAGCCCTGATCTCATCGCTGGGAGGAATGAGAGGATGCCTTCCAGATATCCCCATCCCTGAACTTCAGTTGGTTTTCAAGGCTCATTCTCCACCTGGACTGGCAGAATGTGGTATTGGGGCTTCAGATGGAGGCTGGGTGCCTCCTAGGCACCTGATGGAGTATCACCAGAGCCAGCGCTGTTTCTGGAAGGTGACAGATAGGGTGTTAGCTGGGTGGTAAGTGTGGCCCAAGCCAAAAGTCAGACTCTAATGGCCAGCTCCACATCTCTGCCTCTGTTGGAACGGCGAGCCACCCACATCTTCACACTCCTGTCTGGGGGGCAAGCCCAGGACTGCCTCCCTCCTGAAGGTTTCTTTCTAGACAGCCCACTTCCTCCTGGGACTTCCTCCTTCAGAACCAGCTGGCATGCCCATTTCAGTCATACTGTCTGTGGTTCTGTGTCACTGGCTCCTTCTTTGGGGACAGACCAGGTATAACTCCTCACTCCCAAGCGCTTGCCTGGGGGCTCCATCCTGCTGGTGCTGCTCAGCACAGGTGAAGTGAGAACCCACAGCCCCTGGGGACACGCCAGCCAGTATGCTCTTCGTGAGTCAACGGGGCACGGGAAACTGGCAGGTCAGGGAGAGTTTGAGGTCCAGGCCAAACTGCTAAGTGCACGTGATGCTCTGGCCCCCAGCAGCCCTTTGCTGGTGCTCATGGTGTTGGCTGCAGCTTTAAATGCCAGAGCAATCCCACTGCCCAATGCTTAACCCACGGTACCATCAGGGAGTGTCTTTCGGATTCCCAAAACAGGAGTTCTGCCGAGACTGCCTGCATGGTGGGTGTGGGTGCTCATCGAGAAGTGGGGTAAGTGAACGCCCTGCTGGGTCCCCCCCAGTGCCTGAGTCAGTAACCTGTTTGACTCTGCACTTCCGTGAGCATCATCTGGGCTTTGACTGTGGGTACGTGGCTTACTGGGGCCTGAGTGGGGTCTCTCTTTGAGGCCTGGCTCCTAGCACGAACTGGGTTCACTTCTTGGCAGGGTACCCAGGCGGGGCCCCATGGAGGAGGTGCTGCCTTTGAGGGTAGCGGCAGGTCTCTGTGGGCCAGACTGCCGGGCGCCTACCCGGACTCGTGGTCTTGGGTGCTCACTGTCTGTCACGTGGGAGTCCTCCCCAGCCCGGTTCCTCTTTCTGCCCAGTGCATGTGCGGCCGCTCATGTTCTGCCCAGCCTGTTTGTACACGAAGTTTTATGGTTCTCTGGAAGGGCAGAGTTGTAAAGTGTGAAATTCTGCCCCTATAGTCTGTACGTCTGCCACGTGGTCCCTTCTGTAGCATGCTGGCTGACCCTGGCTGGCAGGGGTGTGTTGGCCAACTCCAGCTTGGTGTGTGGGTGTTTTATTGTGACTCGGAGACCCTGGGGCAGGGGTTGGACAATGGCATTTCTCTTGGTGGTCGAGCTGGACTTGGGACTTGGCCTGAATGTGGCTCGGTGGCCCCTTAGCTTGCTGTGGACCTTCAGGCAGGTTAGCAGCCCCTCTCTCTAACGTGGAAGTTAGGAAGATGGGGAGCAAGAGGTTCAGCAGCACAGAGAGACCACTTTTAGCAGTTTTCACTGTTGGAGTAAGGGTCTCTGGTGGCACAGGAAGCACTTGGCTGCTCCCTGAAAGGTTGGCAGTTCGAACTCACTCACTCCTCCTAGGGAGACAGTCGGCTTCCTTGGAGACTCGGGCTGGGCAGTGTGTGCAGTTGTCAGGAGTTGGAATCGGCTCACAGCCGCAGGGCTGGGGACGGTTACTCTTTGTTTTCAGAAACAGAAGACACCAAAATGCAGTTTTTCTTTGGCTCAGAAGTCCACCTCCATTAACACCTGTCTCTTGAACACACTGGGTCAGTCAGTCGGTTGCAATCAGCCTCAGGCAGCCCAGCCTGATTTTCCCGCTCACAGCCCTTGGCCTGGGTGGGGGATGGGGAGCAGGACCTAGGCAGGCACTGCTTCGTCACACAGGACACCTGCTCTCAGGTAGCCACACAGCACGCTCAGAGGGAGCAGGTGACCAGGGCGGAGCTCAGGAGGCCCCGAGACTGGCCCTGAGCCATTTTCCAGGGCAGCTCCTCACCCCCACGGCCCTGGCCGGTCCTCGTCGTAGTCTGGGTCTGTCCCTGGTTTCACAGGGACTGGGTGGAGACAACCTCATTACCCACAGGTTGAGGAATAGTTGGAGGGCCTGAGGGGGCCCCTGAGGTGTCCCGGGTGGGCTCTGGGGGCAGCTTGCTAGTCGAAGCTGTATTTGCTGGTTTCTGTGTGAGGAATGAGGGTGGAGCAGTTGGTGGTATAGAACCACTGACCTTTTGATCAGCAGCCAGCCAAGCACTTAACCACGGCACCAGGGCTCGCGCTTGTCTTTAAAAATACACACCAACCCTAAAGGTGTTTTCAAGAAAGGAAATGCTAGACTTAGTGCTTGAGAGTCTAATGAGGAGCTGCTCTGTCCACACACAGCAGCTAGAACTTGGCCAGAGCTTCCGTATGCGCGCCATGGCCCCGTGCTTCCCCAGGTCTCAGTGCAGGAGCTTTGTTCTCCGTAGGATGAAACCGGCGCCTACTTGATAGACCGGGACCCCACCTATTTCGGGCCTGTGCTCAACTATCTGCGACACGGAAAGCTGGTGACCAACAGGGACCTCGCCGAGGAAGGTGAGCTGAGCACCTATCTGCTGGTGACACCGCCCCTCCTGCCCTTCCCGTCCTGTGGCCACTCCCCTGTAGCAGGAGGCACTGGGGTTGCAGATGGGGCCTCCTCCATGGGGGCTCCCGCTCTAGCCATGGGCTTGCCGCTTGTGACAGTCCTTGTCTGTCCTCTAGGAGTGTTGGAGGAAGCGGAATTTTACAACATCACCTCACTAATAAAACTTGTAAAGGACAAGATTAGAGAAAGAGACAGCAAAACCTCGCAGGTGAGCGAGTCGCTGACTCATGGGCCGGAAGCTTCCAGGGTGAGGTGCGTGGGCGGGAGGAAGGCTCTGGCTGTCAGCCCCTCCCTGGCCCTTTGTTCCTCGTGTTCCTCGTGTCCACCCAGCATCCCCTGTGGGTCACCTCTCGAAGCCACTCCCTCCACAGGGAGCCCGGGCTGGTGCCCCACTCAAGGTGTCTCTGCCCAGGGCCCCCACCCCGTAGACATCAAGATATGAGGGTGCTGTGAGGAAAGGGAGGCCCAGAAGAAGCAGGGAGCCAGGGGAGCCACTGCCCATGTAAAGGGGCTGGGGACAGGACAGGCTTTGCCATCCTGGTGGCCAGCCCTGCCCAATGAGGCAGTGGTAGGAGAGCAGAGGGGCTGCTGGGGAACTAGGGAGGGGCATAAAGACCTCGGGTGTGAGGCAGGCCGTAGTGGAAGTGGGCTGTACCAGCCCTTTCTGCAGAGGGCGGCGCTGACCAGCCAAGGGCCAGTTCTGTAGCTTGGAATAGAGTGTCTGTCCACTCAGACCCTTTCATGATCTGTCTCCCCAAAATGGACTTTCCCTCTGGGGAGCCACGCAGACCCGGAGCCGTCTCAGCTAAGAGCCTGACACAGCTGCTGGTCAGGGGCCTGGGGCTCAGCGGGTGGAAGCAGGAGACCGCAGTCTGCAGCTCTCGGCCTGCCTGCTGGTCATCCCCAGGCTATCCATGGACGCTTGCCTTGTGTTCCTTTGTATCCCCCAAGCGCCTCTGTCTCCATGTCTGGACCCCCTCTCACGCTCCCCGCAGACTCTCCTGCGTCCCTGTCAGCCACAGGTGCTGCGGGCTCCATCAGCACGTCTCACTTGGTTTGGGAATTTAAAAACAGAAATATTGTTGGGGGCTCAGGAAGAAGCGGACCACAGCAGCTTGATTTGAGTGTGTATTTGCGTCCAGGTTTTTCTGGGCATCGCAGCCTGAACCAGGACACTGAGCAGTGAGAACAAGGCCGTCTCCGGTGTCGGGGCTGAGGTCCCGGGGTGGGGTGGGAGAGGCACAGGCCACCTGCTGACCCGCTGACCTGCCCGCAGGTGCCGGTGAAGCATGTGTACCGCGTGCTGCAGTGCCAAGAGGAGGAGCTCACGCAGATGGTGTCCACCATGTCTGACGGCTGGAAGTTCGAGCAGGTGAGAGTGCCCAGGCCTGCAGGCCCGCTGCTCATCTTGGTTCTCCATGTGGCTGAGTGGGGGTGCTGGCATGGCGGGCGTGTCCCTGGCTCCTAAAGGTGCACACAGGCTGAGATGGGGAGGTGGGGAGCGACAGACTCAGCCCCATCCTCGTCTTTTCATCAACCCTCTGCCTGCCACCCCTCCTGAACTCTGTCCTTGAAGTCACTGCAGAGTCTGGGGCTGACACCCGACCTGGCATTTTGCGTGTGCATGCAAACATGTGCGTGCCTGTGTGTATATATGAGCATGTGTGTGTCTATGTGTCTGTGTGTGCATGCGAGCACCTGTGTGTTTTGTGTACACACATCCGTGTGTGAGTGTACCTATGTGTATATACATGAGCACGTGTGTTTATGTGTCTGTGCATGTGAGCACGTCTGTGTGTGTGCGTGTCCGTGTGTACATGTCCTTGTCAGTGCGCATCTGTGTCTGTGCATGTGTGTCAGTGTGTGTTTGCATGCATCGTGTATATGCGAGTGTATATGCGTCTGTTTGCATGTGAGCACATGTCTCTGTGTACATGTCTGTGTACATGTGTGTACATGTCCGTGTGCGCCTGTGTTCATGTGTGTATAAGAGCACTAATGTGTCTAGGTGTCTGTATGCGTCTGTGAGAGAGATTCGAGGATTCTGTTTTCTGTGAGTCAGTCATGTGTCCTCCTGGAGGCTCTTATCTCATTGAGGTGGAGAGTGGTGCTCCCCAGCTACCGTCAGCCTTGTTCTGCCCTAGGCCAGTGCCTGTGGCCGGCTGGTGGCAGGCTGAGGGGTGGTGTCGTCACACACTGTCTGCTCCCTCCCAGCTGGTCAGCATTGGCTCCTCTTACAATTATGGGAACGAAGATCAGGCGGAGTTTCTCTGCGTTGTCTCCAAGGAGCTGCACAACACACCCTCGGGCATGGCCAGCGAGCCCAGCGAGAAGGCCAAGGTGGGTGTGTGCCGTGCACCCAGCGTGACTGTACATGAGTGGCTAGCTGGGCACCCCCTGGTCTGAGGGAGAAGCAGGGACTAGAGGGATCTGTGCAGCCGAAACTATGAGCACCAGGAACAGAGTAAAGTTCCTGCTCATTGTTATGTGCCATCTGACTCATAAACGTCCCTAGTAGCTGCTCTGAAAAGTCAACAGTCATGGGTGCAACCCTAACCCAATACCATTTCAGCGTAAATACCTACCCCTCACTCAGTCCCCTTGTGTCCGGCACCTACTAACTCCAGGGGGTCAGTAACCCTGGGGTTGTGCCCCTGGTTTCCCAGGTGAAAGCCCCGCACGTGGGGTGTCCCCAGGGTGTCCAGTCGGCTCTGCCCAGAGCAGAGTGCCTTTAGGCCCCAGGGGTGTGGATGGCAGGTCCCAGACTAGGAAGGAGTCTCTGTCCCCCATTTAGCTGTTTGGGACTCTGACTCTCGTGCACCCCCTTCCCAAGTGCTACCATCACTGTGCATGTGGGCCCCCTTGGGCCGTGGAGGACTTTCTCTGCAGAGAACTGCTGGCCACATCTCCCACCGTCTCAGAAGCTGTGTGCTGCCCAGTCCTGCCGGGGCCCAGGAGCCTGCCTAGTGCTGGACTGTAGGCTGGGGGTCCAGGTGTTCAGTGAACAGTGAAAGACACAGGTCCATTGGGGGCACCACAGAGACCAGGGCCGGCCTGACAGGCATGTGGGCAGAAGTGGGGACAGGGCCTTGGCTTGGTCAGGTGATATATGTCAGGTGGTTGCTGGAGTGCAGGCGGGGGTCTGTGGGAGGAGCCTTTATGAGGTCACCCACCACGTGCTTCCTGCAGGACCACCTGGCCACTGGTCATCCATCCTCTGTCCTTGCTCTTAGATTTTGCAGGAACGGGGTTCGAGGATGTGAGGAGCAGTGTTGAGAGCCGAGAAGGACGGCTGCTTTTCCCCAAGACGCCGCGAGCTTCCATGCTGAGGGGCCTGGCCGTGACAAGCAGCCGGCTTGTGACGATTTTCTCTAGAGATGGGGGTGAGGGGGGTGGTGAGAATGGACCCCCAGATACCGCCAACCCACTGGGAGTGACGTTATTTTTAATCACTGAAGATCATTTAAAGGACAACGTTGTTGGTGCTACATAAACCGTCTCGATGAGCTGCCCGCCCCCCAGGAAGTGGCATTGTGGGCACCAGCCTGCCACATCTCCAGGGACCTGTTTGCCCAGGGCTGCAGGCTGTCTCCCCACCTTGCTGGTGGCGACTGACTGAGGTGGCGACCGGTGGCGGGTCTTCCTCTCACCACGCACCCGTTTCGGCTGCACAGATGCCTCGGGGTGCCTCACTTTGTGTGCCCCTTCTCCCAGTGTGGGTGGCAGCAGCTGTTTTTTCTTCTAGAAACCCCTCTAAGTGTTGCCACAGTGGGTCAGCCCTGATAACTAGCTGCAGGAGAGTGGGCCTCTGCCTCATCCCATAAACCGGCTCACGTGACGCAGTGTCTGGGGGTGCCTCTGTTGTGCCTGCGATGGTGTTGGGGGGGAGAGGGCGGGAGTTCTGGCTTCCTGGGAACCTTCCCGGTGTTTACACGCACCACACGCGTCCTCCTCGCCTGCGTCCTTGTTTCCTTTGTCTAACTATGCAGTTCGCTCGCGTGGTTTTCGGGATGTTTGAGACACTTGGCCCTACTCACCAGGTGAGGCCCTGAGCTGCTGGGGCCCCACATGTCTCCACAGCTGCTCACATGCTCCAGAGCGAAATGGGATTTCCGGGTGGTGGTGGGCATCATGGTGGCTCGAGTGACTGCTCTGTACATCCACCACCAGGGCTGCCCGTTTGGAGGCCCAGGTTCTGACAGCCGCTAGATTCTAACGCTTCCTGAGACTTCGGGCCCCCACCCTCTTCTCTTTTGCCAACGACCTGGTTAACTGAGTTCTCAAGCATCTTGGACTGACCTTTTGGTGAGGTCTGTCGGACATCATTACACATTTGGCTCAGTTCACATGGAACCTTTCCACAGACAGGGTGGACACAGGTGCCCTGTGGAGCCCAGGAGGGAGACGGTCCTTGACTTCTGACCTTGACATGGTAGATAGGTGTGTGGTTTTTTTATTTAAAGACATTAAGACTTAACCCACTAAAATTTATTCCAAGGGGATATTTATACTTTTATACTTTTTTAGGTATCCGTATTTTATCAGCTTACAGTTTAACGCCTCAGTTTCCCCTGAAAATAGCAAATAAAATTGTGTATTTATGAATGAGCATGCCGGGCGTTAGTGTCTTAAACCGCATCCCCCGACCCCATGGCAACCTGGCCTCAGCTTGCTGCCAAGTCTGCTCCGTTTCTGCTTGGCGAGTTGGTAGCACCTGTCCTTAGATCTGTCTGTGGGTGGGGTCTGACGCCATTTCAACCTTCTGGTCAGTGTCACCCCCTCCCATCTGGGGGACAAGGGACATTTTCCTCTGAGTGACTTCAGTGCCAAGACCCATTTTGGTGTCCAAGTGGGACCCCTGGGCTGCTGCTCTGGTGCCCCCTGCTGGCTGATAAGCACAGGTGTTGGCGCCTGAGGCTGAAACTGGATGGTGAAGGCCAGGTTGGTAACTTTGATCCAGGGTGTTGGGGTCCTGCCCACTTGGGAAAGGGCTGGGCTGTGCTGGCTTTCTGAACAGCCAGCTACTGTCCTTGGCACCCACAGAAACCTGTTTTCTCAGCGTCCCCTGGGCAGGTGTTTCTGAATGAAGGACCAAGGGGGACACAGGTTGGCCACTCTTCAGCTGCCAGGGCTCCCAGGGAGGTGCGGCGGGGCCTTGGACAGTCGTTCCCTCACCCAGCTCCTGTGGCCTGTCCTTCCTGCTCAACACGGAGAGGTCTGAGCTTGTCCACTCCTGGAGCCGGCACTGTCCGAGCTCAGGTTTGAGGGGCTTTGATTTACTCCCCATTTGTCTTTCCCTCTTCCAACTTCACCTTCCACCCGATGCCCACAGCTGACCCTTATGGGGTCCTGGAAGCAAGGAAGGGCTGGGGGCCTTTGAAGAGATGATGACCAACCATGTTTCCATGATCCTACATGTATGCCCCCTCATCCCAGGCCAGTGTGGTTGCTACAGCCAGGCCTTCCATCGGGGAGCATCCCTGGTGGGAAGGGAAGTGGCCACCCTAAGGATTCCAGCCAATCCCCTCGAGGCCCCTGCTAGTGACCACCCCCACCCCCCAACACACAGAGTGAGTTGGCACCATCTCCAGCCTGGGTTACTACAGCTGGAGGTCCCGCCCATTCCTCCAAGGCAGAAGCTCCCATCAAATCACGCATCCCAACCCCAAAACAAGTGTTACCGCAGCCCTCAGCTTCCTGTGACCCTAGGCTGCTGGGCACTGTCAGCCACGTGAAATACACATGCTCTCCCCCAAATGTTTGATCTGGGTTGAGGACACGATTTTCATCAGCAGACACGAGACTTGTGGCCAGTTGGTGGCCAGCACCCAGGAAGCAGGAGTTGGGTGTGTGCAGTCCCCATGAAGGGTCTGTGAGCTTGGCCTCAGCTCCCAAGCCCTGGGAGTGGATGCAGGATGGTGGTGGCACCCGGAGGCACCCTGAAACAGGGTAGACAGCAAGACTTTGGTCTGGCTCCTGACCTGGGGTTCAAGGCTACCTCTCCAAGACTAGGGGGCTTGAGGTTAGCTCAGCCAGATGGCCCAGAATTTGACCCTTGGGCTCTGCTGGGGTCACAGTATGCTTGTTTCCTCCCCATGGAACACAGCGCTTCCCTCGTCTCCCAGCCAGGGAGGGCCACTCTGCTGTCAGTAGGGAGACAAGAGGGCCAGAGCAGGTGGCCGGCCGAGTCCTTCCCTAAATAGCCACTGACCAGCACTGGCCAGGCATGGGGGGGTTGGGCACAGTGTTTGCCCGTGCGTGCAGATGTGTCTCCACGTGCACAGGTGTGACCACCAGTGTGTGCATATGTGTGTTCCTGGGTATTGGTGCTGGTACACAGTTGTGTGTGTGTGCTGCTGAATCCTCCACCACCAGAAGCTGGAGTCCTGCTTTCAGAAATGCACAGAGCTGGACTCGGTGCAGGGGTGCCAGTGAAGTGGCCCTCCAGATGAACCTGCCTGGGATTGCTGATTGACAGCTCGTCGGTGGAGTCGTGGGGGGTGAAGTGGGGGTGTCTGTCCCTATCCCTGGCGCCCAGCCCGGTGATGCTCCGCAAGCACTCCAGGCAACGCGGGTGGGAGCAGGGATTGTTCGAGCCCTGCATCCGGGTGGCCTGGCACACGTGATCCCCGTCCCTTCCATCTTCGCCTCCTCCCACTCAGATCTCTCGCCTCTTCCCTACAGGGGGTGGACCTGAGACCCAGCCCCCATCCTCCTCCCTAGGACCAGGGCAGCAGTGTGAGGTTGGGCATCGGCGGTGGAGAGGAGGGGAGAGCTATTTACAAATGTACAGGCGGCCGGGCTCCGCCGCGGGCCCGGGGCTCAGAGCATAGTCGGCAGGACCCCGAGGATCAGGTGGACGGCATGGGCGCCCAGGAGCGGAGCCAAGCTCCGACTCTGCGGCGGATGGACCCGCGGGTCTCGCCTCTGGCCCCCTCTGGCGCCTGCGGTCTGGAACTGCAGCTCGGGGATGATCCGGTGGATCCAGTCGTAGTGGGCAGTGACCCGGATGTAAACACCCGGGCGGTTCCGGCGAGCACAACCCTCGCCCCAGCTGATCACCCCGGCCTGCAGCCAAGACTTGCCCACGAGGCACACCAAGGGCCCCCCCGAATCGCCCTGTGAGGAAATTAAGAGGCCACCGTCAAGGCAGAGACAGAAGCCTCGCGAGTCCTAAGGGTCCCAAGAGCCAGTCTCTCAGGCGCGCACACACTCACAGACATGCGCACACATGCAGTATGCACGCACTTGGGGCTGGACCCTGTGGTCTGTCCTTCCTTCTCTCGAGCACCCCCTATGTGGTCCTTCCCTTGCTTTTCTAGGCTGCCTGTTGCTCTGACATCCTGATTCCCTATTGTTGTGTTTAAAATGCAAATCTCTCCGCCTACACCAGGCCCATTACACCTGACTCCTCTGGGGTGGGCCCAGCAATTGGCTTTTTAAAACCAGGTTTCAGGTGTTCAAGAAGGCCATGTAAGAGGCACCTTGCCCCGGCTGAACCTGATGAAGCCCTCTGCCCACCTTGCAGGCGTCCTTCTTGCCCTCTGCAAATCCGGCGCACAGCATGTCGGCCTTGATGGTTTGGGGCTGGAGATCGGAGTCCATGTCTCTGCTGTAGAGCTGGTTGCACTTTGCTGTGTCAATGAGGGGCACAGCCAGCTTCTGCAGGATCCGTGGGTTGGGCAGGCGGTCTGGGGAGGTGGGGGGAGGGGCGCTAGGCTCGTGGAGAACCCCACCTTTGCTCCACCTCATTTCTTGTTTGGATTTAGACCTCCTGCTTTGACTCAGGTCTTTGTGGGGCAGAATTCCTTCTTTCCTTTCAAGCGGCAGCCAGGGCTCTTCCTGTCTCCCTCCCTCCTTCTGGGCCATCCCAACCCGCCCATTTTGAGTAGAGATCCGGGTGTACCCGTATCAACAGAAGAAGATCATTGTTCTGGGACATCCTCCAGGCATTCTCTCCTGGGTCTGCTTCATTACCTTGCTCACTGGGGCTGCCCCAGCCGGTGACCCAGCAGTCCATGCCGGTCTTGAAGACCACCGAGGGATCAGGCACACACACAGGGAGGATATGGTGTGTGAAGGTCACCGGCTCCTCCAGCTGCACCAGGGCCACGTCGGCACTGGAGGCCATGCCCTGGTACAGGGGGTTGCTCTCCACTCGCTTCACCTGGGCATACACGGCATGTGGCCCGGGGTTCACCAGCTGCCGTGCTCCCAGCAGAACTCGGTACAGGAATGTTTCGGAAGTGCTTGAAGGGGGAGAGAACAGAGGATGTTGGTAAGGCAGGCCTTCGAGTGGAGGACAGTGGGAGGGGGCTGGTCACTCCCAACTGGACCGAAGTCTTTCTACAGCTGCAGAGATGCCTTTAATTTCCAACCCCACCCTGGCCAGCTGGGTGACCTCAGGGAAGTTACCTAGCAAGTTTCCTGTAACTCCCTTTCTTCTTCTGTCAAATGGGGAGAGTCCCCATCTGAAGGCCTGTTAAAAGGAGATGGCCTGGCCAGCGCTCCAGGCTCCAGGTCATCCCTCTAGCCCTGTGGGTTGCATAGCTGGAAGTGCAGGTCCTGTGTGTCTTGGGCAGGCAACCTGCTGTCTCTAAGCCTGGCTTTCCCTACTGTCATATGGTGTTGAAAGAACTGCAGAACTGTGGTGTGGTGAGGAGACCTGAGATGGCTAAGGAGGGGACGAGGGGGAAGAGTGTGGGGCTCAGAGTGGGTCAGCAGACTGGGTGACCTGACCCTTTGCCCAGGGACCTCAGAGCTGAGTTGAGATGGGGTGGGAGTTGGGAGGGACATTGTGCTGAGTCTTCTGGCTCTTCAGAACCCCAGCCAGGATCGGAAGGAAAAGAGGTGGGGTGTGGAAGGAGCTGCCCCCCACAGCGTATGGAGAGGTCCGGCCCGCATTCTCCTCGGGGACAGTGCCCAGCTGAACTCTGGGGTTGGCCCTAAAGTAACTTTTGGCTGGGAAGGCATATCAGGACTACATTAGAGCTTGCATGCGAAGGACAGATTCTGCATCAAAGTTGGGCGTCCCAGGCGGCGAGCAGTTCCGCCCGCAGAGCGGTAGAGGGCAGGGCCGCTGGGCGCTGTCCTCGGTGCTGAGCCAGGCCAGGCGGGAGTGCGGCGAGGGGAACTGACTCACTTGGAGAAGCAGTGCGCTGCGGTCAGCACCCACTGTGCGGCGATGAGGCTGCCTCCGCAGAAGTGTCTTCCGTTGCGTTGGATGCTGACCTGCCACGGCCACTCCCGCTCCTGTGCATCCTCCCCGCCCACCATCCGGTTTAGCATCCGGGGACGGCCACAAGCTGCGGGGGGACACGGGAACTCACCGGTTGCTCTCGGGCGCTTTGATCCCTGGTCCCTGCCCCAGCTCCCAGATTTCGAGGTCCTTCCCACAGAGCCCACTCCTCTGGGAAATGGTGACACTGTTCCTACCCCGGGACCCTGAGAGACCTGGAGAGAGAATGCCTACAAAGCGCTAATCCCGGAATCCAGCACAACACGGGGGCCCGGGGAGGGTCCCAGACTGGGGTCCCTTCAGGAAGACGACCACAGGGGATTGTTGCCAAACAGTGCCCTCTCCAGCTTGGTTCTGAGGGCTGAATCTTTTCTGGCTCCCATGTCCTTCTTGTGCCCTGCGTTAGAATGGTCACTACTTTCTGGGTTCAAATCCCTCTCAGCCACAACTGAAAAGGACTGGGTTCCCAGGGCCTGGCCCATTCATTCTTTATTCTCGGGTGCCTCTGTCCATGTGTGCATATGCAGTGAGCTCATGTCAGCATGTGCCCATGCATGGTGTGCCTGTGCTCACGCGTATGGACCTGCGTGTGATCAATCTCTCTGGGGCTCATCTCCCAACCAGGCTTGGAATTCTCAGAGCAGCCAGCTGCCGCCAGCCGCTTCCCACCCAGGGACTTTATTACATGCTCTTACCTCTGAATGCCCTGGTCCCCTGAGGCCCTGGAAGTCAGGAAAAGGTGAAGGTTAGCAATGTTGCAGAAACCAGGGCCACCCGTCCCCCCAGTAGGCCCAGATGGCAGCCCGGTCACTCCGCTCACCCGCTACCCAGCCACAGATGTCCCCAAGTCCTGAACTGGGGCCAGAGTTTGTCTGCCAGACTGGGTGATCTGGCTCAAGGGATGCTGGTGCTGACGAAGGGTCCCCGACTGGGTGAATGGCCCCCGCCCCTTTTCTCCAGAAGGTCTCTCCCCTGAGGCCCCACACCCATCCTCATCTCAAAGTCTGGGAGGATCGCTGGCCTCCAGTTCCCCTGGACAGCTGAGAGCCAGGGTAGAAGTGTCCCTGCTAACCAAAGGCCAGCAGTTCGACCTCAGTCACTCCAAGGAGAACGAAGTGGCAGTCTGCCTCCACAGAGTAAGCAGTACTGTGTTCTATAGGATTTCTGTTCATTGCAATCGAAGTCAGTGGGTTTGGGTTTTGCACCTAGAGGTACGCCCCAGTGAAGCACTGGTTAAGTACTTGACTGCTGAACATATGTTAGGGGATTCGAGCCCACCAACTGCTCTATAGACAAAGATGTGGCAATCTGCTTCCATAAAGATTCCCAGCCCTGGGAACTCTATGGGGCCCTTCGCCTCTGCCCTGCAGGGTCCAGGAGGGTCGCTCTGACTTGGAATCCACTTGATGGCAATGAAGTGGGGGTTTCTCAGGATCTGTTCCAGCACATCAGCCCCCAGCCCCACAGGGTCACCCACAACCTCTGGGGTTCCCATAGGCCTCCTAAGAGCTCTGTAGTGGGAACCCAAGATGCCCCGAGTGATTCTGGTACCACCCTCACCCTGGGGAAAGTCAGGAAACAGAGAACAGAGCGAGACAGGACTGTACTGGGCGGGCATCACCTCTCATACCTCTGGACTCAGGACGGGGACTAGAGCTTCCATCCTGCCCTAGAGACCCCAGCCAGGACGACAGCCCCATCCCAGGAATCCTATGAAGTGACTTGTTCATGGAGACAGCCCTCTCCACCCCCATGCCCAGCGTGTGTGTCCAGTTCACTGGGCAGATGTGGTCAGAGCTGGAGGGAGGTCTTCAGAACAGCTCCCTTCCCATCTCAGCCTCAGCCTCTCCCCTAGACCCCAACTCCTGTGGACCCTGAGGAAGGGCAGCTACTATTGGCTTTGGCTTTGCTTTGTCCAGAAAAGAAAACCAATCGGAGGGAGGTGAGGGACATGGGGACAGCAAGTCACTGGGCTGCAGCATGCATGTCTGTGGGAGCCTGTAGACCCCCAGGGTTTTGCAGAAGCCCCCTTCTTCCTGCTGGACTTGCAGTCCTAGGGACCCACTCTCTGGTGCCAAGTGGGGTGAGGAGGAGCTGGGCGAAGCAGTAGAGGAAAGTAGAGGTCACCTGTGATGGGGCAAGAGCAGGGGAGGACGCTGGGTGGCTGAGAAAGCACAGAACCATGCACTGGTCACTCTTCAATGTAGGGGTGCCAAGCAGAAGGCAAGGGTGGGGTCTTGGATTCATTGTGTCTCCCCAAAATACGTGTCCACTTAACTGGGCCAAGAGTCTCAGTGGTTTGAGGTAAGCGCCCCCATGCTGTGATCTGATGTGGTCAGCCCTAATCTGACCAAAGGGATTAGGATAGGATGTAACACCCTTCAGTAGGGCCACAACCCTGCTGGGATGTAAGGGACGCTTCCCTGGGCTGTGACCTGCATCACCTTTTGTCTTACAAGAGATAGAAGGAACAGCGAGAGGAACCCTCAGTACCACCCACAGTACCACCCACCTGGAAAGGGGGGCTGGGAGCAGGTTGCATCCTATGCTAAGAACCTCCTAGACCCAGGGGTCCACTGAGGCCATGACACATGGAGATTTCCAAGGAATGCTGGGTCCACAGACCTTCCCTCAGAACCCACAGTGAGAAAGCCATGGTCACTTAGAGCAGACCTGAATTTGGCATTCTGGCCTCTTAGATTGTGAGAAAGTCAATCTGTTAAAGCTACTCCCGTGTTATAGAAGTAGGAGAGAACTAAGATAGAGGTGGCCCAAGTGGCCTTAGGCCTGCTGCTCATTAACATTAATGTATGTTAACAAGGTGCCCTTTAAAATGCAAATGACCCTGGCAGGCTGTTGCTATCGGCCTTTCTTTCACATCATAGTATAATAGAGTATAGTCTGATTGATGACACGGGGTCCCTCCCTCTCTCTCTGCCTATAGAAAGCTGCTCCAATTCATGCTAGCTTTTTCCTTGCTGGCATGAACCTACATGAGTTTCTTTTGGTCTTTCTGGGATTTTGCAAGATTCACCTCGTGGATACCCTCCCTGAGGTATATCGAAAATATCGAGATGTCTCTATCTGTAGTGCCCAAGACTCCCAGGTTCAAGTCCAAATCCTTGAGGGGCTTAGTGGGCGTTCTGAGACTCCCTCCCACCAGGCGGCTGCTGATACTGGTCTGTACTTTCTGGCGGGGGGTGGGTGGGTGTTTGCTATGGGGGGTTTACTATATCACTCACTGGGCCTGGGTGCCACAAGGCTCCAGTTCAAATCTTTGTTGTTGTTGTAGTTACGTGCCTTCGAGTCAGTTCCGACCCATAGTGACCCTGCATAGGGTTTTCCAAGGAGCAGCTGGTGAGCTTGAACTGCCGACCTTGCAGTTCAAACTGACTTTGCAGTCCAGTGCATTAACCCATAGCGCCACACCAGGACTCCATAAGTTCAAATCCTAGTTGCTGATCAAAGCCAAACTGAAAGGCCTTTGCCTCCTACAGGGAGCCTTTCTTGCCTTTAATGGGAAGTTTGGCACCTTCCCTGGGCTCTGCCCACCTCATCCTAGAGCTAGAAGCCTTGTCCCATCTCTCCCATCTGGGCGGGACAGTCACTGTTACCAGGCCCATCATTCCTGAGACCAGGGCCCAAATGCTTCTGGAGGAGCGGGGCAGGGGTCTGGGCCAGCAGTGGGCTTCTGACCATGTCTGTGAGGTCACATTATCTACTTGGCAGTGACCTTGATTACTCAGGCCCACAGGAGCTACACACCCTGGATGTGCTCAAAGAACACATTCTCTGTGTGCCAGGAGTGAACAGGGGTGGGGAGGGACGGGACCGGGCAGCCTGGGGGCTTCCTGTGGAGATGCCACTCTGACACCTTCTTAGCAGTGAGAAGGTGGAAGCCTGGAGACAGGCCACAGCCTGGGAGGTAAGCCCAGGACAGGGAAGTGTGGTGCTATGGGCCGGGCAGGGCCCAGGAATGCAGGAAGGTCTCCCAGGCAGAGAGGGGCCCGCCCTGCAGGGTGGGGCCCGGCAGGTGGCCTCTGCCACACCCACTGACCCCAACTCAGGATTGGGAAAAGGGTCACTTGGCCTGGCCCAGTCCTACTACCCGCTTCCTCTCTGGGGGCGGCCCTCAGCACTTTATACCTTGGCCTCCAGATCTCTGTTAAGCCCCCTTTACCAGCCCCCTGGGGCTCCAGAAGGCAGGGAGGGCACAGTGTGGCCAGTCCCCTCTGGTCCAGCAGACTTCAAACCCTTCCCAAGCAAGCACAGCACTGATCCAGGAGATGGCAAAGCCACAGCTGCTGCCCAAAGTGTCAGCGGGGAGGAGGGTTCCAGGCGGCACACGGATCCCCTGCTGATGCCCAGCCTTCCTCGGCCACTCGGCTCCCCTCCCCACTGGGTGTCATCTGGACCCTCCACACTACCCAGAGACAGCAGCACTGGAGCGGGAAGGAAGGAGGGGAGGGGGCCGGCTCCTGCAGCCCAGGTCGGGGAGGGTGGGGGGGAGAGGGCCCAAACTCACCGAGTGGGAACAGCAGTAGGAGCAGAGCCATGGCCGCCGGGGGCCTCATGTTCCTGGCGAGGTGGAGGGGTGGGGGACAGGCCGGGACAGCGGTGACAGCAGTGCTCAGGGAGCACTTGCCAGTTGCTCGGCTCCATGAACTGGGGTTTTATGGCTGTAGTGAGTATGGGTTCGGCTATGCTGTTGGACCTGTTGGCCCAGCCTGCCCGGCTCTTCTCTGTAAGAAGGAGGTGCCTCAGGAACCCCAGCTCCTGTGACCTGACCCTGAACCCCCTGAACCCCGCTGAACCAGATCCCCCCACCCACTTCATTATTCCTCAGGGTTCTGGTGTAGCGAGTAGGGGGAGTGCTGCCCCTTTCTGGGTTCTGGCAGCCTTGACCTCCCCCACCTGGAACTGACCACAGACACCCCTAAGTGGCCCCAGAAACCCCTCAATTGACCACAGGTCCCCTATGAACTGGCTGCCCCAGGAAACTCTCACAGTTTGGTTCATTCATTCATTCATTCTCAGGAAGGGCAGGCATCAGTAGACACTATCTAGCTCCTGTAAGTAACCTGGTGGGGCCGTCAATGAAGGGAAGCTACCATTACCCCATTACCCACCATCTTGATCAAAGATCTGAATGGAGAATCCTGATCCAAAGGGGGGAATGTGGAACAAGATTTCAGAGTCTCTTGGATTCTGGACTTTCTGGAGCCATGGAAGGCAGATGAACCCTGAACATCATCAATTGCCCTGAGACCTGAGAGCATATTTAAACCTTTAACCAAACATATCCCATATCCCTTGAAGTCATCATAAAAAAGCAATGAAAAAAAAAACCAAAAACAACTATCATCAAGTCGATTCTGACTCAACAGAGGAACTGCTCCTGCTCCTTAAGGTTCTGAGAGGAGCAGACAGCCTCGTTTTTCTCTTGAAAAGAGGCTGATGGGTTTGAACACTACCACCCACGCTTAAACCACCATGCCACTAGGGTCCTTACCTGAGCAATTGTATCACCTATCTATCCTACAGTGAGCGCCACACCATTAAATTGACCACAGGACCCCTAAATGAGCAATAGTGCGCTTGAGTTACAAAGCTCCGCCTTAAACATTAGGTTCTTTTAAGTAAGATCTGTTGTTAATTGCAGTCAGTCATAGCGACCCTGGATAGGGTTTCCAAGGAGCGGCAGGTGAATCGGAATCACCCGTTTACCGTCCAGCACTTAACCTACAGCGCCACACCATTAAATTGACAACTGCAACTTGAAAGCTTAGCTAGGACCTTTGGGGGGGTTGGTTTGTGAATGAGGAAGAACAGCTCCGAAGAATGCCACCAAGCTCAATTGCTTTGCCCTGTGTAGTCTCAATAACAACAAAATACATAAAACTCAGGGAAAACAGAAGAGCCGGTGAGCGACCCCCCTCCACCGGAAGCCCCCAGCCCAGTGCTGCTGGACCCGGCTGGGGGCTTCCCAGAACCCGTGGCCGTCGGGCGGGGCGGAAGCTGGTTCTGGGAAGGCCGGACCGGGATGACCGTCAGAGGAGTCACTGCCCAGGCGCGGGCGGTGGATCGGGACCGCGGAAGCGGCTCGGGGAGGAAGTTTTTTGGGGCACGGGGTGGTATCAGGGCCGCAGTTGCGGCTCGGCGGCCACTCCCTCCGGCCGCGTGATCGCGGCGGGACGCGCCCGGCGAAGCTGCGGGCCCTGCCTCGGTTTCCCCGCCTGCGCTGTGGGTGGGATGAGTTAGGGTGCTCTGCGGCCCGCCCCAGGTGGTGGTGTGGGCAGGGTTCGCCCTGGATCCGGGAGGGTGAGTCCCGTAGCCCCCCGCCGGGGCTCTGCCTTAGTCTCCCAGAGTGCCCGGGCCGCGCAATGCTGCCCTCTGGCGGCCACCCGGAGCAGCGCAGGATGGGCGGGAGGTGAAGGTAGGAAAACCTGGAGCTAGAGAAAGAGATGCAGGATGGAGTGAGAGATGGCTGTGGGACCTCCCCCGGGCTCGGCTCTCGGCTTCTCCATGTGGGCGTTAGGCCCATGTGTCTCCACTCCCCTCACACAACAAAAACCCCAACCCACTCCCATAGAGTGAACTCCTACTCACAGCGACACTGTGTAGGCTTTCAAGAGGCTGTAAATCTTTATGGGGAACGGAAAACGTTAGCTTTCTTTCTGGTTAACAGCCCAGTGCTTATCCCATAGTGCCACCCAGAAGTTCACCGCCTGCCTGTCGTCCACTGCCACCCCTGGTACTTTGCAGTTGGAGGCGCAGCGGCTTGGCTGAAGGAAAGGAGACAGTGGGGTAAGAGAAGGGCGCCCCCGCGTGGACTGCAGTGAACACATTGCCGGGTCTGGCGCCATCCTCCCAATTCCTTCCGTTTGAACCCACTGTGGCAGCCCCCTGTCAATCCATCTCTTCCAGGTCCTCCTCTTTTTCACAAACCCTCTACTTTACAAAGCATGATGTCCTTCTCCATCCTGATCACGTGTCTAAAAGACCACCACGGGTTCTTCTATGGTACAATCCTGCCTGTACGCCTTCCAAAACAAAGAATTCGTTTATTCTTCGGGCAGTCCATAGCATATTGAATATCGAGTACACTGCTGACGGATTCATTCATTCATAGACTCATTCATTAATTCACCAATAGGTACAAATCCCTGGAGGGCGGGGTTATCAAGTGAACACAGGGGGAGGGAAATGGCACGGAATCATTTCAGGGAAAAGGAGGAGTGATCGAGTGTCTCAGCAATGTCTGTCCGTGTGACCTTAGTCCTCCAGGCTCATCTGTTCACCTGCCCTTACTGCCCATGGGGGGGGAGGGACAGGACCTTTTGACACCAACCATACCCTTTGGAGGACGACCTTTCTCAGTTTTTCCTGCTGTTCATTTAAGAGCCAATTCCTCTAGGGGTGACTCTACCCTAAAATCAAGCAGACAACAAAAATCAAACTGTGGATCTTCCCCAAATCTATGTTCAAATCCTCACCTCTAGCCTGTGGCGCTAGTCCCAGTTGGAACCAGGATTTTCTTTGATGTACTCATGATAAAGGACTGGGGAGGGGTGTGTTTTGAGTCAATCCCTACTGAGATACAACAGAGGCTCAAGCAGAACAAGGGACGGTGGATGTCAAGACTCAAGGACACCTCCATGAAACCCGGAGGCAGAGGCTGCAGAGATGAGGCATGTGCTCCAGAGCTGACAGGAGAGAGCCCTAGAGTATACGTGTGTAGGTGTGTCTGTTCCAACACACAGCAACTCCGTATAGTGTTTCCAAGGAACAGCTGGTGGGTTTGAACTGTCAACTTTGTGGTTAGCAGTTCAATGCTTATCCTATATCACCACACCAGGACTCCAACTTGCCTAGAGCAGACACTCTGAATTCAGACTTCTAGTCTCCTAAATTGTGAGGAAGTCCGTTTCTGTTTGTGATATTTCTGTAATAGCAGCAAAAGAGCAGAGACTCTGAAAGAGAGGCTACCAGGGAAAGCTGGACTCCTGTGGAGGGTGTCTGGGTGGGAACTGGTGGGAGTGGGCGTGTCCCGTCCTCACAACATCCACCAAACAGTGCTAACGGAGATTTGAATTCACAGAGATACAGAGATTATTCAAAATAGCCAATCTTCCTAGAGAACAGAATTGGACATGGATCAAGCCTGGAAGAAGAACCATGTTCAGGTTGGAAGGAAACATGCGTGAGCCCACAAAGACCTGAAAAGGCAAACAGTAGATAAAGTGTTTGCAGGGAACACTGCAAAATGCTGGCACCATTATGGTGAGAGATGCTGGAGAAATGGATCAGGAAAACAAGGAGACCATAAAGATTAAGTGAAGGGAGGACACAAACAGATAAAGTCGCCAAAGAGGCAATCAACTGGCAAGAGACTTTCTGAGATGTGCTGAGCCTCCGTAATTAACTAAATGCAAATCTAAACCACAGTGAGGAGATGCCAGTTCTGGGCAGTGAGCGAGCCCAGCAGTGGAGGAATGCTCTTCCCCAGGATCCCGGGGACATGGGCCAGCAGGTGGGCATGTTTCTGGCACAACCCTTTTCTATCTACATCAGGTTGTTGGTCAGTGGCCTCAGCTCAAAATAATAAAATACACACAACATGAATGTTGTCATTTTAACTAATTTCAAGTGTATCATCCAGTGACATCAGTTATGCACAATACTGCGCCAGAATCACCACTGTTGGCACCTCTAACTTTTCTACCCTTGCCACAAGCAGAAGCTCTGGACCAGTTAGGCCACCGTACCTCATTCCCTTCCGCCTCTCTGTAGTGGCTCTTCTAGCTATTTTGTATAAATGGGACCATACAATAGTCCTCCTTTTGTGCCTGAATTATTTTTCAGTTTAGTCTCATGTCTTCAAGGTTCATCTGTGCCCTAGCATGTGCCAGAACGTCACTCTCTAGCATGGCTGAACACTCCTCCTCCTGTTGTCTGTCCGCACCACCTGTGTGCTCAGTCCCCTGTGGATGAACACTCGGGTTGTTTCCACCATGTGGTTCCTTCACTGGAGTGCAGGGATCAGTCTGAGTTCCTGCTTTCAGGTCTTCGGGATATAATGGCCTGTCTTCAACCACGTTGGTTCCTTTTGGTGCCATGAGGTCACTGCTAGAAGTCTACCCTAAGCAAAGAACCCTCAATACAAAGAAGAACTTTATGGCCATAAGTGTTTGTAGTAAGGTTCTTCATATTTGCGAAAATGAAAAGCCATCAAGCAACCACCAAAGACCACTTGTAGGGTGTAGGGTGTAGGGTGATGGTAGGGAAACCATCCATCCTCTGAACACAAATCATGGAAACCTCATTTTCTGTTCACAGACAATGCCTGTGAGACAATTGTGATAGGAGATGCTGCCACAGCACTAGCTTACCAAGTGTCATGGAGAGTGTGTGTGTGTGTGTGTGTGTGTGTGTGTGTGCGTGCGCGCATCCCCAATGTGTGTCATCTTGACTGGCCCATGAGTCTCAGTGCTCTGGCAATTATGTAATGATGTCATCAGCCAATCAGCTGTAAGACACACGCTTACTCAGGACACAGCCCTGGTCTGATGTCAGGGGACTTCCCCTGGGCTGGGGCCTGCATCCCCTTTACCTCACAAGAGAGCAAAGTGAGTACAGGGGGCAGCAGATACCACCAGGAAAGGAGGCCCAGAAACAAAGCACGTCATGTGACCCCAGGACCCCTGCACAGGGACCCTCCTAGAACCAGGGGAAGAGTGATTCCATGACATGACATCTGGGGATCTCTACAGAATGCGGGGTTTACACATGATGAATGGAGACAAGGACCTTGCCCCTAAGCTATGAGCCTACAGAGACAGAAAGGCTCCCGAGCGCTGGGAGGAGACATCTCTGGTGCTTAGAGTCGTCCCCTCGTGGTATCTCTGTCATAGCACTAGAAAGCTCAGACACCAAGCACAAGCTTCTCCTCAAGGGATTGGTCCCTCCTGACCACAAGTTCAGAGTGAGGGAGGTGAAGTCTGGCTGCACTTATTTCTAACGAGTATTTCGACTGTACTTGTTTTTCAGACACATGTGTTCATTCTTCTGGTAGTTCACGGACTATTCATGGCATATAAAATATCTAGAACAGGCAAAACAATCAAGGGCCAAAGTTTCTGAGGTCTCAGGCACTAGCAGGAGTGGGCAGTAGGGAGTCCCTGCTTTGGGGCCCTGATGGGCCGGTGAAAAGTTGGAAATCGGGTGTTGGCTGCACAACATGCTGAATATAGTTCATGTCACTGAAAAATAGTTGAAATGCAAACATTTTGTTATATACATTTTCACACACACACACACACCACACAATAACTACAGCAGTAACACCACCTGAAGCAAAAAAAGGCTGCCGAATGTTGAGCAGGCTTCTGTAGTCCTGCAGAATCCTTTCAGCTGTGGGAAGGTGACAAGGACTCATTGGGGGACAGAGGGCATGGGACTCCCCTTCCAAAAGTGCTCCAGTCGGAAGGGGGACTGCAGGAAACAGGATGCTGCTGCCAACCTTGCTTCTCACCCCCAGGATTCCACCCTCCTCTGGTGAGGGACGGCTACATTCTCTAGTGTCCAAGATAAGCTCCTCCCATGGCCCGTTCAGAATAAAAAGTCTCAGGGAAGGACACTAACTGGCCCTATGATTGGCTCAGCCTGGTCACATGGACATCCCTTGGCTACAGGGCAGAGTTGGTTATCAGAAAGAGGAGGAAAGAAGTACAGTCACCACACCCTCAGCTAAGTGTGGGATGAAATCAAAATGTTTTCAGATGTGAAAGGTCCCAGAGGTTTGATCTCTCATGCACCTGTCATGAGTAGGAAACAGAAGGAGTAAAACAAGAAGGCAGATAGCATGGGTTATAGAAAACAGAGCAGACGGAAGAGTGGTGGACGGAATCCCAGGGTAATGGTGACAGGAGATTTCAGATTGAGGGCTGTGTCCCAAGGCTCTGTCCTCACGGGAACAGGGTGACTCGAGAGAAAGGCACATGAGAGCCACCATCACCAGGAACCCCCCTCCCCACTAGCTTTTTAATCTGAGGAGACGAATGAAGAAGGGCTGTCGAGTCGATTCTGACTCATAGTGAACTGGTGAACTGGAACCTTGTAGTCCAGCGCATTTGCCCACAGGTGGGCACCACCAAAAGAAGGATGTGGGCCAAGGAAGAGTGCAATCTGACACTCAGGGATTGGGAATCAGAAGCTGGAGAAAGGCAAATGAAATTCCAAAGATGGCAGCTTTGGCATGTCCCAGGATGCCAACAGTGCCCAGAGAATGGCAATCTCAAGTAGTTAAGTGCTCGAATGGGACTGCCCTCATGGAAGCGTGTACTAAAGCTAATTAGAGGCTGTGGGTAGGTACAGACAAAATACACCACAGCAGAAAAGAGTGCTCACTTCTGGGGGGGAGAAGTCAACAAGGAAACCACCATGGTACATGACAAAGCTTGCTTATGAATACTATCTGAACAGATAAATGGTGTGAATTGTGCTAAGACATACACTATACTGGAGAGTTGTGGGGTTGTGCTTGTTGCCATAAACTCGGTATTTTGGTTCATGGTGACCCATGCATTCCAGAACAGAACTGCCCCCACAGGGTTTTCTCGACCCCAATCTCCATGGAAACAGATCAGAGGCCCTTCCTCAGCAGTGCCACTGGGTGGGCTAACTGTGCAGCAATCCTGCAGCAGTGGCACACCAGGACTAGGGGGATTTGTAAATACCAGGAGAGGGAATTAGGAGGGTGTAGAGACAGGACAGTGAACTGCTG